AGGTGGAAGACGCAGTTCTCACCGCAGCCAAGCATCCCGGCTCTCCGCTATACGGTCGCGTTACTGAGACTCTGGCCTTCTCTGTCCCCGATGAAGTACTCCAGGAGGTGGTGGGAATTGTTATTGTGACGCCCCCAGGCACACCTAGGCCAGATATCCGCCAGCTGCACGAATCGCTACAGCCTGTTATTCATCAGCCCAAGTGGCCCGCCCTCGTGGTATATATGGATCGTGTGCCCAAGTCCAATAACAAAATCCAGCGCATTAAGCTTGCCGAGCGACTCACATTGGAGTCGTTGACACCGAAGACACCCCTCGGAGATCGTCATTATGAAGCTGTCTGCCCACCCAACGGCACTCCGTTGGGTACTTCGATTTTGAAACAAAAATGTGCTGTTGACCGCAACGCTGTTCGCTCCGCCTTGGGAGAGATCGCTAAGGATTCCGAAGTACATATTCAAATTAACGAACGTGATGGATTCGCCCAAGCTGTTCTCTTCGTCGACAACCCGGACGACTATCAACTCACTCCTAATGTCCTTCGCGAGCAGCTTGATGGCTATCTTGTCCCCTCCCGCATCACTACTCTGAGGGGGCCCATGCCCCTTGACTTCTACGGAAATCCCGACCAGACAGCCATTGACGAGGCTATCCGCGCTCAAAACTCAGACTGTAGCCTGCCACCCATCCAACGCCGGATCCGCGAGGTCTTCGCCACAGCCTTGTCTTGCGCACCAGAGGAGATATCTGCCATAACCGACTTTTTCACCGCTGGCGGCGATAGTCTGAGCGCAGGTCGACTTGTTTCGCAACTCCGACGTGACTTTGGGATCTTTCTGGCTGGAGACATTCTCTTCCACCATAGCACTGTCGGTGAAATTGAGTACAAGATCATAGAAGCCGTTCAGATCAAGGCTGCTAAAGGCAACGAAGAGGAGATCGAATTACCCGGCTGTGAAAAGACGTACAGCAGCACGAACCCGCTGGTGATGGTCTTGCACCTTTTCCCCGTTCTTTTCTTCTTCCCAATGAAGCGTGCCTTTCAGTGGCTTGTCTTCTCATATGTCGTTGCTGAAGGCACACTCCGCTTTCCCATTCGCGATTTACTCATTGGTCGATTGATCCTGATTGTTCTAGCCGTTCTAGCCGCTCGTGTCAGTGGTGAGATTGTGACTCCCATGTGCACGATTCTTTTCAAGTGGCTTGTTGTCGGCCGCTACAAGGAGGGTATTTACCCTATGTGGGGACCCTATCACACTCGGTGGTGGTTGACCCAGAAGGCAATACAGGTGTTTGGAAAAGGAATGTTCAATCACTTTAATTGGTCTCGCGTGCTGTTCTACCGTCTACTCGGTGTCAAGATTGGCAAAAATGTCACTATACCCCCATCTGCCAAGCTTGGAGAGTATGACTTGATTGAAATTGGTGACAATGTCGTGTTAGATACATGTCAATGTCGTCCCTTTGCTGTGGAGCGCAACACATCCATGCTGCTCAAGAGAATTCGCATTGGTAGAGATTCTTCCATCGGTCTTAAGTCAATCCTCGCCCCTGGCGCCGATATACCGGAGAACACCTGCATCGGCCCCAACTCGTCAAGCTGGGAACTTCAAGATGCCGATGAGTCGAACCGGGATTTGTTAAGCTCCAGCATTCCTCAGCCACATTGGATGTTTGCCCTTCTAATTGTTATGCCCATCAAAATCCTGGTCTGGGTCGCTGCCCGTCTCACCTGGATGGGTGGTCTTGTACCGATGGTGAGGCAGTTCCCGGTTGCCCAACCTGACATGTTCCTGGCAACTCTGCAATGGTATACCAGTGGCCAGCGAATTGGCTTCCACATTTCCGCAAGGCTCTGTCGTGCTATTGGTGGCCCGATCGTGCTTTTCGCATCAGTTCTGATCATCAAATCACTGCTCGATCTCATCTGTGGCAAGCCAAAGCCCAGTCCTGCTTCTAAGCAGAGCGCTCTGCAGAAGATTCGCACCGCTGTCCTAGCAGAGATTCTCCCATCTGGCGATATTCATGAACTAACCCGTCTAGTCGGCCGTCACTATGAATTAGTCTCAATGGCTATCCGTGCCCTTGGTGGCAAGGTCGGGAAGCGAATCTACTGGCCCAGTGTAGGCCCTTCACTCCCTGATTTTGATCTCATCGAAGTCGGAAACGATGTCGTGTTTGGATCCCGTTCGACCCTTATCACATCCGATGGCTATGGCCGTGATCGTGTTGTTATTGGTGACGGTGCCATGGTTGGTGATCGCGTGGTCGCTTCCCCTGGTGTCACAATCGGCCGTGAGGCAATGATCGGCTCTGGGGCCTTGCTTCGTCGGAATGGTCGTTATCCAGCGAATACCATCTGGACCGGTAGCAAGGGTGGTGATGCTGTGCAGTTCCCGACTTCGTCTTCGGTGCCCATTTCAACTGCCCCCACTGTTGTTGGTAGCAGCAGCAGCAGCAGCACCGATGGCGATAGCAGCAGCGACAACGAGAAAGGAATGGAAAAGAAGACTCAAAATGAGAAGCAGACCGTTTCGAATATCACTGAGGCGGACACCTGCAAGCCCTTTGGTCGTGCGTTTTACCGGAAGGATTCCAGCTACTATGTGCTACGCATCTGGCAGATTGTCATTTATTCTGTTCTGTCGGTTGTTGTCGTGACTGTGTACTGGCTCCTGAGTGTAGTATTTGCTCTTCTATGTCTCCGCGCCTGTCTTGAGCATAGCAATGCGGCTGGATTCGATATTGGAGCTTGGCGGCCATTTGTCTTGTATGGCGTACTGGCCGGTTTCTTATCGGCCATCAGTTGTGCTCAGGCCTTCATCGCTTTGGGCATTGTCATATGCGTCAAGTGGATCGTCATGGGTCGTCGCAAGGAGGGCGAATTTCATTGGGACAAGAGCAGTTATAACCAACGATGGCAATTCCTCCTGTCTTGTGAGACACTCATCAAGGACTGCTATGGCGGAACCGGTCTCCTGCCTATGATTACGGGCTCGGCCTATTTATCCTGGTACTACCGCCTCTTGGGTGCGAATATTGGAAAAGATTGCGCGATCCACGCCAATGGTACGCCGAACGTCTACTTTACCGAGCCTGACCTTCTCACACTCGGTAACCGCGTGGCTGTTGATGATTGCAGCTTGGTTTGCCATCTGAATTCTCGTGGTGAGTTCGAATTACATACTCTGACGGTCGGCGACCGGAGCATTATGCGTGCTGGATCCCGCTTAATGTCCGGGGCTTCGATGGGGGAAGATGCCTGTCTGTTGGAACACACTTTGGTCCTGTCGGGTGACCACGTAGAGGATAAAGGTACACTTCAGGGATGGCCTGCCGAAGGGTTTGAAGGGAAGCGGGTATAAACTTGAAACTTTGAGATGATTCCCTACCGGTGATTTCATACAACGGCATTTATAGAGTGTTCATGGTTTGATATATCTATTTATTCTACGTGTTTGTAAATGGAGAGCTCAAGTTTGCGCATACTTTCAATTCTACTGCGAACATTGTAGGCATTCACCGATTTTGGTCCTATGCTTGTAGGAATCCGCACCTATAGCCTACCACCAAACGCCATTTTCCTTTCTATCTGTATTGCATGCTACGGTGTACGGATTTGGAACATGGCGCCAAAACTAGATATTCTTGCTGGATGTCCAGGTAATGGTCAGAGTGATGACAGTGTCCGTAGTCTCTCTTATGAACCTCAGGGGCTATCTGGATCAGAGCCTGGCTTCCATCGGATGGAGTTTTTGTGGTTTGTAAGAACAAGGATTTCCTAATTCTTGATATCCCACGCGATCGTGCGGCCGCCTAATGAGTAAAAGGGTTGTTTCTTTTTACCTTTTTGATTGCCTGTCTGAAGTTATGTAGGGTAGGTAGTGGAATTGTTTTTTGTGTAATGTGCTGAGAATTAATATCTTGAGTTAGTTTTCAAATTTGAAGCTGGCTTCAAGGTTAGCAAAGGATATAGCTCGGCCAGCTATGAAGAGATAGAAGCGGCTAGTTAATCATATCGTAGCCTGCCCGATATGGTACGGATGGAGAAAAAAAAAATATAAAAAAATAAGCAAGCACCGAGAGCGATTTGAACGCCCGACCTAGGACACTGCAAATCCTCGCGCTAACCCCTGCGCCATCAGTGCTGGTTGCTGATACTTATTGACAGGTTTTAGCTACAGAACACTTCTCCTCGAGACATCTATGGTCTCATGAATATTGCCAAGTCGGTGGTACCGTAGCTGTAAAGGGGGTGGTGATAGCGTCATTACGACCGAGAGAGCCAGGCTCAAGTTCCGGATAGCACCGCGCAGAAGGCCGTAGGTGGTGATGGACGTGTCGTCATGAGTGCCGGAGATGACACCAGCGCCGAATAATAGACTGGCGATCTGGTTATTGTTGTTGGGGGAGCTGTCGACATCGTTCTGCTATGTAGCCTCGTCGGAAGTGACAACGGCCAGAGTTCCTTGAGCCTCGAGTTCGGGCCGGTAAAGGTCCAGGAAGTAATTAAGCCAGTCGCCCACCGTTTGAGGCTGGTGCACGTAATCGCTGTTGGACATACGGTTATGGGCGTTGTGGACCATTTCCGGCACGTAGTATGAGTAGACGGGCAGGTTATGGGTTGTTGGCGTCGTACAGCTTGACGCAGCGCTCGTACTCGGATGTGTACGTGCTGAATATCAGAGCGGGGACGTCCAGGTGATGGTAGACTTGAGCCCACCAGACTGGGTTAGTGTCATCGATAGGCCCGTCGAAGATAGTTGTTGCAGTCTTTTTTTCTATGGTGGGTGGTGATGGGGTCGTACCACTCGATGTACGTACCATAGGAGATATTTTTTCCCTCTAGAAGTTCAGAGATAGTTTAGGCATTGATGTTGTAGAAGTCCTCATGGGCCATATCGAAGGAGTCACCAACCACAATAGCAGCGTAGGTGGGCAGGGAAAGGTGGATAATGCTGTGGCTGTTGGTCAACAGCTTATCCTTCTTCGCCAAAAGGCTAGTAGGGATCGCTTATGGTCCAGCGGAAGACCTCGTTCCCGAAGATAATATGCAGAATCTTCTTAAGATTCCCCTCAGACTTCTCGGTCTGGCAGTGGTCGAAGTCGCGGGCATGGTTGCGCCTGTTTATGCTGGGCTTCTGGCAAGAGTCGAAGAGCTTGATCTTGCCGATAGGCTTCGGGTTACCCTCACCAACCCCAAAGAAAGGATACATTGTGAAGGCACCGTCAGGATAGTAGTTTTATCCCAGCTGCATTTGGGGGCTTGTGAAATTGGAGCCACTGACGGTGTTGTTGTTGACTGCCCAGTAATAATAGCCGCCATACCGAGACGGCGAAAAGGAACCTGGTAGGTAGAAGTCTGGTTGGCCACAGCTGGGCCGTTCACATAGAAAAAAGTGCCACTGATGAACGGCACCTTATCGTAGGGAATGGTATGTCGGGTGGAGGCCAGAGACGCAATAGCCACGACCGTGGTCGCGTTCGTGAAGAAGCGCATCTTATTTGCAGGCACAGAACCACAAAATTCAGGAGGGAGGCTCCTAGTGTGAATCAACTTGCAGAAGAAGCAGACAGCTGCTGGTCGTTGTTGGTCAAAGGAATCGATTGAGATCTTATTCGAGAGGGAATACGTGAAGCTATATATACATTGAGAAGATCTCTCGGGAACTAACTCCGATGGTGCGGCTTCGTTCCTGATCTGCACCAGCCTCAGTTAACAACATATATAAACATCATCTAGTCCGAGCCATCACTTTTTCTTCTTCGTCGCCCCCTTCTTACCTCGCGTTTCTTTGCTATCTTGTTCTTTTCTCTCTTCCATATCACTAGCTTACCGATCGCATATGCAATATGGCTGATTGTACGTCCTTTGCCACGTTTACGGGGCACCAACTGCCCGGCGCGTTCTTCGAAGCAGACAGCGTCGACGATGCCGAGAACCCACACCCTATCTTTGGCTATCACCCCGGTTTGTTGAGTCTCACCACAATTCCGCAGTTTAGTAAGTGACGCAGAGGGCTATGTATGCAAAGAATCTGAAGCTTTACGATGAACCAATTTATCTGCACACTTTGAAAACAGAGGAACTAAATATGATTCTACAAACATAAAAGCCCTAAGAAGAAGCTGGAAGAATCCAAGTAGTGACCGACTCACTCGGGATATCTCCGGACCATTCTTCTCCACTCTCAGTACTGAGCGTCAAATAGATATCGTTATCAAACAGATTTTCAATCACAACAGAACGAGTCCCATCCGGATTCAAAGACGCCACAGACTGCACGCCCCCGCCACTGGAGTAGGTGTAACTGCCGTTTCCACTCAGTATCGTGGCCCCGACCGGAATAAACTTGCTGAACTGAGCCATCATGTAGTAAGCAGTCTCGAAAGTGTAGCTTCCATCATCGTTGACTGTCACGAGGCCAGTACACGTGCCGCAGCCACCAGAGGACAGATGCGGACCATCGCTGGAGTCGGTGCCAAGAGTCCACGCTGCCACGCCAGCAGCCCAATTCTGCAGGGGACCCATGGTGAAGTCGGCTGCCTGGTTCCAGGAACCGGAAGAGGGTGTCCAGCACTCGGTCATATACTGGTTGATGTTGGGATTTATGTCGTGGAAGGAGCTAAGGACCGTCCAGTCTACATTGGTGGCGTAGCAGTGCCATGCAACCGAGTCGACGTATTGGCCGGCGTCATTGACGACGGTTTGTGGGTAAGACGTGACATCTGAGAGCTCTGTATCAGCAGGAAGAAGCATGAATAGCTGGTAATATGAGAGAAATCACCTGTGTTATGGTCATATGCCCATATTTTCGTGTTGAGGTTGGCATGAGAGAGAGCAGGGCCGATATAGTTCTGAATCAGCTGTGCAGACTCGTCGGCGTATACGTACATCGTCGGGTATCCGGATTGGCTGTTCAACGGCTCGTTCTGGATTGTGATCGCGTCGACAGAGACGCCAAGATCTTGGTAGGCTTGGATATACTTGACAAAGTACTGGGCAAATGCACTAGCATACCCCGAGTCCCCGGTGCCTTCGCTCAAATATCCGTCGTTGAGATTATTGTCTGTGGTGTTTCCATCGATCACCCCGTTCAGTTTCATCCAGCCAGGGGCACTCCAAGGGGACCCGAGGACTGTGAGGTCGGACTGCAACGACTTCATGGAAGCCAGAAATTTTGCCATGGATGTTCCTCGATCGCCCAGGCTAAATCCAGACAGGGAGGTGTCTTCGGAGCCACCATTATCATCATATGTATAGGATGGGTCTCCGGAAAGGTCTGACGCGCCGATAGTATGTCGCATCAAGGCAAAGTTGGCACCCGAATCGGTGAGAAGATCATTCAAAAGGGCTTGAAGGTTCGAATCAGATAGTGTATTGAAGGATTCCACCGTCGCATCAGTGACAGCTGCTCCGAAGCCCACAATGGTTTGCTTATGTCCCGAGCTTGTATCATCAACAGTCAGCTTCCATGTTGAGCTCAAGCCCGGATCACCTTCTCCCTGAACAGGCGCTGTGACGGAGGATATTTTGTAGTTTCCGGCCGAGTTAGAAGAATATGCAGATGCAGATGCAGATGCAGCCCTTTGTTTCAAGGCGTAGCTGCCAACAGCCAAACTGAGTAGGGTTGCAATCGTGCGCATCGTGGGGACTGAAATGTGAAGAAGATGATGATCTGTGAAATTCACTTGTCCCAGCAGAGGGGAACTATCCAGGGACTTAAATAATCCAACAATCACAAACTAGCCCATGTAGAGAGTGAATGCGACGCAATTTCAATTAAAAGATTTGAATTGAGTAAAAGCATCGAGATACGTGATGCAGATGCCAATAAAATGAGTCCATCAGCAACTAGCGTCTGCAGTGAGATGTTTCAAAATGCCACGCAAGCGGGGACTGGGGAGGAGTGCACAGATAGCTCAGGGAAAGGCTTATGGCGGGCCAACGAAGCTGAGGATTGGTACTCGGAATCTACTTGCCGTGGGGTGTGCGGGGTCCATCCCGACGCAGAAACTGGTCTAACAGAATTCGATCTCACTTTTCTGTGCTAAGGTCCCTGTATGGCGCTGTCCCAGAAACATATCCGGTAATTGAGCGAAGAGCGAATGAGTTTCAGCTGAGGAACAATCTATGTATAAATAGTGACTTCGCCGATCATGGCCCAAAACAACCATGTCATAGACCCGGCTACTTCGATGACTGAGGAGCGGGCCAAGCGACTGTGACAATTCCCATCCCAAACAGGTAGAGATCCGCAATCTAACTAGACCACTCCGTGAACCCTCGTTTGTTCGTTCTTGGGAGATATCCAACACCAGCCGTTAATAGTTAAATGAATTTCCATATTCAGCATGGTATGCGAGTACCAATTCAGCGATTTATTTTTACCAATTCAAGTAGGAGGTGTCGATTTGTCGCCAATTCGAGTGCGTCATCCGTTAGTCGTATGTCATTGCCATTAACGAGTAGCATTCATCGGGCTCCCAGTACGTGGGCCCAGTATATCTAAGTCACCCTCCAGCAGTGGTATTATATCGACGATGAGCCCAAGATAGATTATTGTCCCCGCCAGATCGATGGATCCTTCTCGAGTTGCCCACCCACGAGGACGGGATATTGTGTGTACAATGCGAGGTATACACGGCCCGATGCCCCCGTTACCGACGAGGTTGCCGTTAGCCAGTTGCTGCAGCGCATCAAAGAATATCAGCAGCAAGATTTTGATGAAGCCACGCCATGGTTGAACTGGACCGGATGGGTGCCGAAATTACAGGGTACACCCCGCCAGCCGTTGTACGAGAGTATTTAGTGACTCGAAGAGGATGTTATCGGACCAGACCAAGCGGCATTAACCATTTGTGAGGATATATAATAATTGACCCGTGTCAGCCAGGAAATCGCCGAGGCGTGCGGCATTTATTGTCGATCGATATTGTCCGTACCATGAAGGAGGTGAAAGAGAATCGAGCTATTCCCTATGAGTGTGTTTATCCAGCTGCATCTAGCGGCAATTTTCTGTGAACTAGAAGCTTGTGATCGTTTATTATTGAGTGTTATAAGAGGGGCCTGTTGTTGATGCATCCATGGATTGATAGAGATCTAAGAGATATTTTTGTTATATTGAATATAAATTGACCTTTATTAGTGACCTCACGCAGTCAAGAGGAGCAAGAAGAATGTATCTGGCCATAACGGGTCACCTGTCGCTACGGTCTACGAGCGTAGCGTCAGATAGGGCCTGTTCGCGCTCCCTTGTAGGGAGGCAATGTGTCTGTATTGTAATAGATGCTATATACAGAAGGAAGGCGGGAGGGACAGAATCGAGACTTGACTGCGTATGAGACGACGAGCTACCTGCAGAGGCAAGTAACTGACTCTTGTGAGGCAGTTATAGGAGGAAGAGGCCCTCAGTAATGTCGGTGTAGACATCACGTGAGGCTACAGGCATTGCAAGGCAACCCCAATAAAACTACTCCCTGTATGGTTGGCGTAACAAGATCCATATAATTTAGAATCCTCGCTAAATTTAGCTTGATTTTGGATTATAGAGAGGTCAAGCAGAAAACATCAAATTGAGACAGTCAGAATACGGTATTACACTGTCAAATTGTGTTTGCTCTCCTCTAGAGCAAATCGGAATCTGGCGGGCCTCAAATCGAATGTGTCCCCAATCTTGAAGCCCGAGTAGACACACCCACGTAGACAATATCCGAGCCAGAAAAACAGTCGAAATTTCAGTCGGAATTCGAAGATCTCAGCATTTGAGGCTTGGTCCACTCACTTAGTCTTCTACTCTGATCCTAAGACCCAAAAAGCACCAAACTAAATAGTCACAGCCCGACAACTAGAAGGCAAACGGCTGAGGTCGGATCCGCTGAGACACAGTTAGAGACCCAACTGTATAGTTAGATATCGACCTTTTGTCATTCAACTCTACGCTTGGACCTACATGGAAGTCTAGCCTTCGCGACGGAGTATTTCTCCTGCTACCCTCACTTTTCTATTCAGTCTGGACAGCTCCGGAATAAATGGGCTCGGACGAAAGGGACCTCTTACGCAATTTTGGTAATCCCAAATCGCGCGCATAACTCTCCTACATCCATATTCATTGGATATTAAGAGTGGTAAACTCTAGGAGTCTTCAAGGAGTATGGTGGCTTGTTACGATTCCCCAATTGGTCGCGCTGCAGACGTATGGCGCATCGTTGCAGACGAACGGCTCTTATAGCTTCCTAGGATTGACCCTGGATGAAAAAGTAACCCATACTTCACCAAGGTTCCGTCAACTTATCATAAAGCTCAGTAGACAAATAGGTGGAACGGGTAGTGGGAATTCCTTGATCCCTTGGTTGCAGGAAGAGGGGGCCAATGACTAAATGCCGTTCCCCAAGAGATCATGTTTCTGTCAAGTAACATGAGGATGCATATAAGTAGTCTTTTGGAAGCATAGATCAATTTTTCTTTTAGTCGTTATCCTGGACTGTTCGCGTTCTTTTAGTGTTACATTGCTGCGCTGAGATCAGTGCTCGCTCACACATAGGTTACAGTAGGGACGTGCTGAAACTTGAAGATTAGCCTCCTCAGAGCAATAGGTCTACGGCGCCGGACAATCTCAGGGCTCACTAATAGGATGTCACATTGGGGGAAGGTTCCATCGTAAATGGTTATCTCCGATCGAGTTAAATTACAACACTTTGTGGAATGGTGCTTGGCTTCCCCGATGAGGTCGCCTCAACTAGCGCATCCTACCTTGAGCAGCTACACCATGAAGTGACACGGCTCTCCAATGCCGGATGTATACCCCTAAATTTTGGAGATGGAAGATATATAAGAAGGACAGAATATCTCCCAGATTGTAGATATCTTTCTATCATCAGCTTCGACAGTTCGACACGACACTCCTTGACAATTCGACACGACACTCCTTAGTTCTCGACGAAAACTTCACTAGTATTTCTTTTCAGAGGTGAAGTCCACCTACAATCCTTTTACAATTATTCTACATCCAACTTCTTTCAATTCCTTCTCAATATGCAATTCTCGACCATCCTTTTCAGCCTGGGCTTGCTGGCTAGCTCCGTGGTGGCAGTGCCTCACAAGCTCCAGACGCTTCAGCGTCGTGCATCTGGTGCTCAGAATGTGGTTTACTGGGGTCAGAATGGCGGCGGAACCGTTGAAAATAATGATCTATCGAGTTACTGCACGTCTACCTCAGGCATTGATATTATTGTGCTTGCTTTCCTCTACGAGTACGGCAACGGAAACACTATTGCATCCGGCACCATTGGCCAGTCCTGCTACATCTCACCTGCTGGTGAGCCTCAGAACTGTGAGGATCTGGGAACTGCCATCAAAACATGCCAGAATAATGGTGTTAAGGTCATCATGTCGCTAGGTGGCGCTGTTGGGGCCTATTCACTTACATCTCAGATCGAGGCTCAGACCATCGGTCAAAACCTCTGGGAGGCATATGGCAATACTGCTGGTGGCAGCGTTCCTCGACCTTTCGGAACCACTTTCGTTAATGGCTGGGACTTTGACATTGAAGCTTCCAGTGGAAATCAATATTACCAGTACCTGATCAGCACTCTGCGGTCCAATTTCGCTTCCGACTCATCCAACACCTACTATATTACTGGCGCCCCGCAGTGCCCTATCCCAGAACCGAACATGCAGCAAATTATTACCACTTCTCAGTTTGATTATCTCTGGGTCCAATTTTACAACAACCCTGGCTGCTCCGTGAACGGCAACATCAACTACGATGACTGGGTCTCTAACATTTCTGGAACTCCATCTGCCAATGCTGAAATTTTCATCGGTGTGCCTGCCTCCACCCTGGGAGCTACAGGTACGGATAGTGGCGCACAGTACTACCTTGATCCAAGTGCGCTGGCGACCTTGGTGGACGAGTACAAGAGTAACTCCGCTTTTGGTGGAATTATGATGTGGTCGGCGGGCTTCTCCGACTCGAATGTTAATAACGGGTGTACTTATGCCCAGGAGGCTAAGAACATTCTCACCACCGGCTCGCCTTGCTAGACAAGCGCGAAACCGTCCACAGAAAAACTCTATACCATGGAGTCATCTACGTGGCAATTCTTTCATTTCTACTGGTCTCTTCAATTGATGGTCGTCAGACCAACTTATTGGATGACTATTTTTTTATTATTTATCTATTCGCCTGATTTATTGTTCTTTTCTTTCCCTGTTGGTCGGTGAGGTCGATTGTGGATAAAGCTCAGCTGTATATTGTGATTTGAAATTAAAGCTTACCTTCTACCTTCTCATTCATGGGAAATCCCTTGGGCTCACGTAAAGGATGGCTCTCAGAGCACTTAAATGAAGTCCTGTTAAGGACGCGTAACCTTTGACCAATCCAATAATCTCCTCGCCATACAGGTAGGATTTGTGGCTTGTCCAGGTCAATCTTTGCCGAAACAGTCAAGTGCACACGGGGTCTAAACCTGTGCCATCCTTCGGCTCTTACCTGTACGTATAGGTAAAATAATTTAATCAGTTCATGCAAAAAGGAAACATGACTTTATTCAGCTACATTGGGCAACTGCTGTCCTATCGAGTGCCCTGAAACACTCGCCAACTTGCGGACACATAGTTCTGCTGCACATCGCGGAACAGCCTCAAGACCCTGAATTATAAATTTCACGACAAGCAGCAATCATGCATATACTAGTGATAAATTCACAACAAAGATGTACCTTTAGACCCCACGGATATGGTGTTCAAGTATGCGGTCATCAACTGTGTAACATTGTGGTGCTTACAAAATATGCTCTGTTCCAACCATTGCTACACTGGCACAGATATAGCTAAGTGAGATATTTTTTGGCTTAGACGGGGCACCTGCAGTCTGGAAACTGGCGATGTAGGCTTCGTTGATAGAGGGCTACAGCGCCTTGAGTGCTGCAGGCAGGCCCGTGGCACTCAATATATCGTAGGAGGAAAAATAGCTACACGGGAGGATACGTGATATATACATAAGGGAGTTCCGCGGTGGGCGAGAAGAAACCGTCGCGCAGAGAGCCCGGCTCTCCCTCCAAACGGGGATGGTCTTTTCGAGGGAGGGGATGGCCAGGAGATATTTGTGTGCGATGTCCAGCACGGAATATCGTGGGCACGAGGTAAGGGGCTCTGCAGCAACAATCCCGAATAGAACCTAGCATTTATCTTAACACAGTGTAGTACAGTGATCTGGTAGCGAAGAGCTTAACGGCTCTCCATCAATATCATGAATATCTCCTGCTCATAAAAGCAGTCTTAAAATACCCAAACGTTTCAAACAAAAACAAAAACGCTCCAGATTAGCAAAATGGGAAATGAAGAGGGACCGACCGGGTAGTTGGACCGAGGCCTGTGCAATAATCTGTCCAGATCACCCGATCGACAGATGACGTTGCTTAGATTAGAGCTCCTTTTCGCTTCGTGGCCAATGGATTGAGAACAGCGTAAGTAGTTCCTGAAGGCCCACCGGCATTCTAGATCTATTGGGAGCCAGTAACAAGGCTACGTGGCAATGAATGTACATTTCAAAGAATAAGAAACCCGAGCCCAGAGAGCCACTGTGTCATGCAGCTCTTTTTTTCTACTTATTTCTCAAATCACCCGCGCAAGGCAGGACTGCGAGGTCCTTAGTATCGGGCGGCAGCTTTCAGCACGGTAGTATCTGCGGTGTAGAATAGCAAAAAAGGGCACCCTACCATGGAATCCGGCGCCAAATCCACATTCTCGGCACATCTAGGGGCAGCAAGAACTGTATCACATATATTACGGTTCTCAGGGTTGCATTTCTAGCGGAAATGCGGGGTTATCTCTCTAGGGTAGATGGTGAGTGGTTGTCAGCTTTTAAACGCTAGTGCCGCTTCGGGTCATATCCCCTTTCGTTTTCGCGTTATCCATGTTCCTGCCAAATTATGTATGCCATGCCAGCCAAAATCCTGAACTAATGCAAGAGTTAGGGGGCATGTGAACAAGCATCTGGTATATCCCTTATCGATTACTTGGCAGCTGGATTTTAATGCTCCTAAATGTAACCCTCTTCGTTTCTTTGGGGGTAGGCAGATTTTTAATTTCGACTCTCTCGCGGGAAGTGTTCTTTTGAAGTCATATTCAACTAGAGTGCTTTTTATTTGTTTGTTTGGATTTTCGCCTTTTGGATGAGTTTTCAAGGTCGAAGATTTCGGGGTTTAAACGAGCACCCGGATTGACCAAGACTTTTCGAGCAGTTCGCTTGTCAGATTTAATTAAGCTCAAAGCTCCGAGGCGCTGGTGCTCGTCTGACTGGCCTGAAGGGCTTGGTACGATGATGGAGATGCAGTCACCCTTCTTTTTATATACTGGACGAAAATTAAGACGATCCAGGTCGTACTCTATCCCATGGGGGTAGGCGGAAGGTATAGCATTAGGTCTTCTAGGGTCCAACTCAGTATGGCCCCATATCGCCGGTTTTTCATGTATTTGCTTTTCCTCTGTGATGCAGCCGTCTGCGTGTTGCCGGGTCTGAATGCTCTAGCTTTTGGTTATATATTGTTCTATAGTCAGTTAATAACTTACTTTATTTTTACAGTCTATACCCTAGTCACAAAAGGGATGCACTACATCCTATTTCTTACCTCTTGACTCGTCTATTCTGTATATTCCTGTTGCCCGCAGTCCACGAGTATATATCAATAAGCCACCCCCCTTCTTAATCCTCTCCTCTATCCTATAAGCCTTGAGAGTCTGGGGTATTATATACACTGAATCCTGTGATAAATATCTTCTAGGTCTTCTTATTGTATACCCTAATAATAACCTCTCTATCCTTATTAAGCTTAGTTTTGCCAATCCTAGGGAAGAAATTATATAATGAAAATATACTGTAGGAGAGGGAGAGGATAGGGACAGTATTAGGTAGGGAATTTTAGTACTATTAGATAGTTGCTACAATAGCGCTATTCTCAGAGAAAGAGAAGGAGAAGAATAACGATATTAACAACTTAATATGTCTGATTTTATTGCTTAATTTTGCGGTAGTAATATCAATCTGATTACCTGTTTCTTATGTATAAAGAAGGACACTATTAGTAGGATAATAGATATTATTAATGCAGTTTATTGTAAAGCGCTCAACGTTATAGATTAGTTTATATATTGTATCGTTTAGGGGATCCCCTATATTGTCAGAGATGTGCTTAAGGATTATTCAGGCATAACGGTAATCTGCTCTATTATAAATATAGCCTTTTTCTGTTATATAACGGCGAAGTCAGCTGCTTGGGTGGCCGGGACGGCGTGAGGATTTTGAAGATTTTGTCGGTCAGATGCATAAAAATAACTTCCGGCCGCACTTTATCAATAGCTGCCATTTTGACTAGAGAGACCCTATATCAAAGTATAGCAGCCAATACAACGGATCAGATAAACATATTAAGAAGTCCAAAGGGCCTCCTGGTTGTCAAGATAGAGCAATAAGTCGATTCCGCCAAGAGATAGTTGTCCTTTTGAGATCCTTAGCTCGTATAGTGGATAGAGCGGTGGGACAAGTTGTGTTATTTAAAATTAGTCATAGAATAACTATGAAGCTCCGCTGGATTAATTCTACTAGGTTTGCTTTATCTAATCACTAGAGACCCCTATAGAACTTCCTATAGCATTTTAGCCTGTAACATCAGTACTTACAAGCTCTCTAGACCTCCCTTATAAGTCGCACTGCCTTGCCACTAGGCATCAATCTTTTTAGCGCCTGCGTAGAGCACACTAAGCCCTGAGCGAAGCCTCGGGACGGGTGGGAGCTATAGCACCTGATATCTCAAGTAATTTATAACTTGAATACATCTAAGCTAGTAGTAATTTAGGAAAAAAGCAAACGTAGTAGAAGTAATGAACTGGACAGCTGTATAGAGTATACGAGTTGATGATCGTTATAAAGATAAGTCGTGGTATCACAGACCCTGCAGAATACATTTTGTAACCTACTATTAATACTTAGCTACCTTAATTGGATCTATGGCCGCTATTTTAAAGATATGGAGATTAATTACACAAGCCCACTGCCTGTCTACTACCGACCTGTCATAATTACTTTCAAAGATAGAATACCTACTTTACGTACTGATGTACCGATGCTAACAAGGGTCGTAGGTGACTAAAAGACTAATCGAGTCACTGAATGAAGTTGATTGCTTCTCATTTAGGGTTGTCATATCTTTATTGTATGATGTGACCTTGTCCCTACTACTCTCCAAGCACCAGTTGGTTTATACCATATTATCTATTATACGCACACCCACCAGCAAACAGAACAATAATAATAATAATAAATATTAATTGACGGTACATTTTCGACGGCAGCAGGTATTAGCTTTGCATACTCCAATCCCATAGGCAGTGAACTGCTCGTCTTCGTGACCCCTTTCATCGACGTCATCGTACCAGTACCGGCGTCGGTTCTACGTCAAAAACATGTATTGATTTAGGTTCCTGTTCATGTACTGAGCATCGGCCGGATTCAGTCATATACAGTCGGGTCCATGGCAGAGGGAGACACAGTCATCGTCGGAGTGGCATTTTTGGTCGAACGATCCCCCAATACGACCGAAGCCGGGCAGATTCATCACCTTCTGGAGGTCATCACCGATCGCAAGGTTCCCGTCTTGCCCATGGTCCCTGCCGGCTATGGTCTGCACGAGTTCCTGGTCTACGACGAAGGTTAGAAAACTCGTGATTTCCAACATACCACTTCAAAACTCAATGACTAACTATCCTCACAGCCAAGGAGAAGGACCGCAAGGAAGTTATGCGCAAGCGTAACGTCGACTTCGCTGTCAATTACCGCGATTAAAGCACGCTAGGCAAACTGGCATCCTAACCGCACCGCCCTGGATACTTGTCCCTATTGGCCGTCGTTTAATTTTTCCCACTGATATCCTTGGCGCTTTCTTGGCCGGTTCACCAAAAGCAATTGGGACTGATCGAACCCGGAATTTCCTCAACACAAGGAAAAAATCAAACTTTTTTAAATTAAGAAAAAAACCACCACACCATCGATCACATTTTGACGATAAAGATGGTGGCGGGCTGGTACCATGGGGATAAAGCTGAAAAGAATATGGTAACCCAACTGCCATGCATAGAACTCGCCCCTTTAACGATGGATGTCATTTGAAAAAAAAATATTAAAAAAATGAAAAAGGAAAGAAAAAGGAAAAAGAAAACTTGATCATTTGGAGTAGGGTGTCCAGCAGGCACTTATAGGTGGCCTTTAATCACAAGTATAAAGAATGGAATCTTCTCAGATAGTATGCCGTAGCTCAATCAAGTCAAGATCAGCATCATGGATCGATTCTCACACGGGCTCTCCCCACTTGGAGTAAACTAGCGAGCTGAATGCAGATTTCAATCTCTTGAAGATCTCGATTGTCAACCTATCATGAAATAGCGGTATGAAAAGGTTGATAGTACCTCAATCCCCACTGCCTATTCGCCACACAGCTCCGAGCGCAGCATTCGGATAAGATGTCGTTGGTCTATCCCAGCCACGGCCTATGAATTGTCCCACGTCTCCCTCCGTTGAGCTGGACTAAATTTAAATATGACTCAATAATTCACTTGGAAGATGGCGATCAACCTTGACGGGTCAGGCAAAATATTGAGCTGTCTCCATTGCGTCATTTGACACTCTCATTCTGTTCGTATGACAAACTGCATCAAGCCCCTTGCATGTTAGTGATGGAGGATCGGCTATTAATCTGCCGGATTTTGGTGAACTTAACAGCCATACATCAGTTTAGTTCTCAGCATTGCTAGTGTGTGAGAAAATGATGTGGCATATAAACCCAACCACCAACAATTTGACAAACTCAAAACGAGAGCATTACCTCCACCTCAGAGGAATCTGAGGCCAAGGCTGCCACTTCCATGCGCGAGGGCTCACTTATTTCTGCGAAAGGTTTTGTGCTTTTGGAATTGTTGGACCATAGCTGTACGTATGTTGAGCAATATTCTCTAGGAGAGCCGTACCGTCGATTCTTGCAATCGTTTTTCAGATCTAGAATGGCAGAATCGAGGGTCGCACATTGAATCTTATAGTCAGTGAGACAAGATCGGAATCTGTTCTCGTCGGACTGAATAGCATTTCACGGCGATAGGCATCTCGAGATGAAAGATAGACAAGGAACCATCTTCGAAATAGGAATTATCAGATATTCTTCCATTTCAGCGCTCAGGAAGAATGAATCACATAGGCTGAACACAGTTAATTAATCACTCTTCCCTCGCCATTATGCTCTGAGCCTTTTGGATTTCAAGAAGTTGTAGTCCAACATCGCCGCTCGCACATAATTCTCTATCATCTGGCCGTCTTCTTCTCCAAACTCGTCCCTCCACTTCCTTCCTTCCTCATTGATGTCGATATCGCCAGCAGCCTTCTTGGTGTTGATAGTAGTGGAGCTGTCGAGCGTCGTTCTAAAAGCTTGTGCCCAAAGTGGTGGAACTTGATCCGCAGGTTCCCATTGATAGCGCAGTCTATCTCTGTCTAGCCCAATGGTGTTGCAGAGCCTGACAAGCACTGCAGGCTCAGTCATGATATCATCTGCGTCAAGAACTATGGGCCAAATGGCCTTCGCCTTTCCCTGTTCAGCCTGAATGTTGCTTTCGTTGAAGTGCTCAACATAGAAGTCGTGCAATTTGCGTGTCCATCGCATGGTCATCACCATCTGGCAGCTCCGTCGCCCAGGGATTGACTTCATGAACTCCTCACCGTCAGCCCTAACGCAGGCGCGATAAAACGAAGGAAAAGACAGCGCTGGATGCCTGATAAGGAAAATAGGTAGCCATGTCTTTAGAAATCCATCTGAGAGTATTGTTTCGTTATGAATTGACCGGCTTGTCAGTTGGACCAGCTCATTTGGGCCTCGCAACTCCCATGGCATCTCTTGAGTGACGCTCTCTTCTCCATACAGGAACCGTGTCTTGGCAACCGGGTCAGTCAAGAAATTAGAATGCTCTTTAACGACCACAAGCTTTCCTTCTGAATTTGCACTCTCCACATGCTGATTTAATTCGTGGAAACAGTTCTTCATACACTCTTCTACTTGTTCCCTTTGGTCTGCGGATAATTGTTCAACATGTATCCAAGAACAACGCAGCTTTGTCTTTAATAAAAGTAAAGGCATAAAAAAATAACCTCCATGTTTGCGGAATGCAACGTTAGGCTGGTCCTCTAATGCCAGGATTTTCAGGAGGAGGTTAGACCCGGTTCTGGGAGAGGTGATCAAGTAGAATTGACGAGGATTGTCTGGCTTGTTGTTGAATTCAGGATTCGACATGGTGCTGTTGAATAGAGTTTTAACAATGAAGGGGAGGTCTTGAGGTTCGTGAAGACTAGTCCGATCTTGGAAACGGGATTTGGTACCTTTTATATTTTAAAATCAGATGTTACTCGTGATTGAATGGCAGCAATAAAGTTTAAATAATTTGTTGTTACCAATCACTCCCGGTTAGCTAACTAACTCCTTTCCTTCTTAATAACCATCATGAAGTTAAGTTCAATGTATGCAAGAAAATATTTAAGCCCTGGAAGCTTCACCCTGCCTAGAATTAATTGGGTTGTTAATCTTCAAAGCAGCTAATTATCCCTTGCAGTTTGCAAATAAGCACTGTAAGTATCACACGCTGCTACGTAACACCGAGAAGATTGTCGCTTGTTTCTGCAGCAAGGCATGTTATAGGTCATATGCTCCTTGCACACATTGCGGTCGAGGCTCGCAACATTGCATTTTGGGCCAGAAGTGCAACCCAAGCAACTATTGTAACACCATGATATACAGTATGCCTTTCCTTTCTCTAGGGATATATGTGCCATCTATAATATTCCGGCGCACCCATACCGCCCCCGCGTATGGATGCGCCCGGTATCCTCGTCACTTCTTTTTTGTATGGCATCTCCATACAAAAGGTACTTACCTCATATTTCTAGTATCCTTCTAATATTAATGCATTTTTACTAAGGACCACTTTATTTTAGAGAGTAATACCTAAAGTTTAATATGTCTTATATTTAAGCGAAAAGTATCTTAAGAATTCTAGGTCAGAATTAGGGGTTTATAGGATGTTGAAAATTTCCTCATATGTCAGCGTATAGTGTTTGCCCTCGAGCCTCTCGGAAAGAATTGCTATCTTTCCTCCAGCCATGATTCTGCCTTATCCCTAAGACCTCCTGCTCTTCTGGCCTATATGCCATATACCATGCTTATTATATGACCTCTCCTTTGTCATGTGATTCCTTTCCTTCCTCCTTAGTCGTGTGATATTACCATCGATCTTCAACGTGGCCGGTGCTCAGGCGTTTTACCTATGCATCCTCTATGCATCTCTCCATGCATCATACACTGCCAGGCATACCCCCTACCCCCCTATGCACTATCATCCGATCTCAACATACGGTGTACATTGTCAGGGTCTATTGCCATTTCCACAATGTTTCAGCAACTTCCTTACAATGATTTCATCCCATTCATCACTCTGTCATTTCGGGTATAAAAATCATATGTATCCCCTAGTTAGCAGATCAGACTTGAATATTATCATTCTCTTCTTACGGCCTTCCCTCTCTGGATCAGACCACACTATACCATCGTAGTCTGCTCCATCCCATTGCCACCAGAGGATCTCTCCTTCCATCCCATGAAGGACTCTCCGCGCCGACATCATAGTAGCTCTTCCGTAGGAGAATTTATTTTAGGCCACAATATTTAATTTCTATTTTGAATAGTACAGATAGAAGTAAGACATAGTCAATTATCTATCTAAGGGGCAAAAAATGGAGTGAAAAAAAGGTCTAACTATATATCTAGAGCGAATAACTTGAAAAGAGGTTTTTCACTCTACGCTTTCGCTTTTCTATTTTATGAAGCATGCTATCTCTACGTTCCTGTATTGATCGTAGTCGTTGAGTACGATCGTTATCGGACGTTCAGCCCCCGAGGCGTTCTTCTTTTTGCTTGGCTTGTTCACTAGCTGATTTTGACACCCATCCTTGCATGTGCCGCCAAACTCTCTTTCCTATCCGCTCCACAAGCTGTCATTGCACGAATTTACTTTTCAGTCTAGCCAATTACCTATCAGAGCGAAAACTTATGTCGATGGGGGTGAGTTTAGTACTCTTATTATGTGGACTGGCATGTTAGATGAGACTGGAATTTCACCTAAAGCAGATATACCAAGACCAGAGAGGCGTTCACTGAGGCTAACAAAGACTTCATAGGCCGATATACTTACACAGTCCAAATAAGTAAATACGGCTGAAGACACAGAAGCTTATGTCATCCTTCTTACTGCGAGTATTAATCATCTGAGGGCTCCTCCATATATTCAATTAGCGTTTCGCGCTTTTAACGTCGCTTTTCACTTCCAATTCTTACTCCTCCTAGCTTTCGTTTCAGGGCCGAAGCGTGTGGCGCGCGCGTCTTCCAGTCACTGAGAAGGAACTCTGGAAAACTCCCCAATGTAGACTAGCACATCTTGGCAGAGTGTAAGTGGTGACACCAGTTTCGGGACGTGCTGTGAACTGCAAGGGTCGGAGAAATGAAAAACAGAGTGGAGAAACCAAGATCTGCGAAATAGGTAGCACTCCCCAAGGCATCAACGACAAAAACCATCAGGAAAATGACGGAGTCGTGAGGAGCTGAAAAAAGATATACAGTAGGACCAATCAACCGACGAACATACAAATCGATGATCAAATAAAAGATTCGGGATTTAATCCACCAGGGTTACACAGCTCCTTATAGCAAAATAAATTAACAGAAAATCTTGAAAAGAAAAAAAAAAAAGACAAAAATGTACTCCGTTTTTGAACGTGCATTGCCAATCTCCATAGTATGCGCTCTAGAATCCAACTGCATCTGATGCATGAACCACGTCCACTATGGTAAGCAGCTGAAATTTTTCATGAAACACATATCCCTACATTCAATTTATTTTTTCTATTTATTAGGCCTTGAAACATTCAATAGAAGACAAATAAACGTAAAATTATATCCTCTCCTTACAGTCACTATCTTCTATTATGGCGCCCTCAATCACGAGTCTTGAACGTGAGCGCTCTGTTATACCCATCAACACCTTGGAGCTATCTAAGAAAGCTCCCACTCAGGTCACACAACAAGCCATCGACCTTCCACTTACTCTTTCCGAAGCTTATGTAGTTGAGGCGGTAAACTCCCAATACTTGGAGTACTTGGATCCAGAATTAGGTCAGGGTCTTGAAATCGATTCAGTTCTCGTTGTTTGCTGGTTACTCGTGATATATGGTTTCTCTCCTGTGAGAACCATGTACCTGACCTTCCATGCTGGATCCAATCTATGCTATATAGATGGCAAAAGTCAGGATGTCAACTCACGCGCGGTTGAATTTTCTTCGAAGCATTCATTGAAGGATCTCGTTCGGGATTTCTGTCGTATCAAGGAGGGCATGAACTTACCTGACCCCGAAGAAGGGTCTACTTCCGATGAGAAGAACCACCCTCTTGCCTCGGTTGTCCACTATGCCCGTGAACGTAAGCCTTTGCAGGAGGCATCTCTGCCTGCAATTTCAAAGGTAACCTTTACCAGTGTTCCGCCATATCATCGACTCAAATCTTCTCTCCAGCAAGACTGATCACCATCTGTTCCAGATCCCCAATCCAAAGTTGATGCTTAACGTGACAAACTCAAATGGTGATCTGCACGCACGTCTCGCTTTCTCATCGACCGAGATGTCCAAAGAATTCGCAACAAGTCTTCTTCACTGCTTCAACAAGGTCGTCGCTTCAATATACCGCTCCCTCGGAACTTCTTTGGATGACTTTGATTTATGTTCGGACCTTGACCTCATTCTGGTGCAAAGGTTTACAAAAGAGGTCTCGGAATCCCACGAGGTCTTACTACATGACATGACATTGGAGCATGCTCGACTAACCCCGGACGCTCCTGCAATTTGTTCATGGGATGGAAGATTCACCTACAGAGAGCTAGATGATCTCACAAGTCGCCTTGCTCTTCACTTGACCTCTATTGGTGTTAGTCCTGAAACCTTCGTCCTCAGTTGTTTCGAAAAGTCAGCTTTTGCGATTATTGCGCGCCTGGCTATTTTGAAAGCCGGTGGAGCGTACGTATCCATCGACGCGAGCGATCCTCCCAATTTTCTCGACTCAGTCATCACTCGCGCTAACGCTAAAATCATGCTCACATCTCCTGGGTATGCATCAAAATATGCCTCAATTATTTCAAACGTCATTGCGATTACAGAAGAGAGTCTAAAAGCACTTCCCACCGGAGAACTATCTTCCACAGTCCAGCCAGGAAATGCCTGTCTGATTTTATTCACCTCCGGCAGCACGGGTCAACCCAAAGGCATTATCCAGGAACATCGATCTTACGCCACAGCAATCCGCGATTACAACAAGGTCCTCGGTCTAGGTCGACACAGTCGTGTCTTCCAGTTCGACGACTATGCATTCGACATCAGCAACAATGATTACCTCACAGCTTTGGCAGCTGGTGGCTGTTGCTGTGTTCCAACACCCAAAAAAACCATATCTGGTCTGATTGAAAATATCAATGTCATGAAGGCCAACATGAGCTTCATGACCCCGACAATTGCAATTCAAGTTAACCCCAAAGATGTCCCATTGCTGGAACTGCTTTGCGTCGGTGGCGAACCCATGTCAAACGACCTAATCATGAAATGGGGTCCTCACGTCAAGCTGGTCAATCAGTACGGAATGGGCGAGGCCGCCACCTTTTGTGCCTACAACGACAACCCTAAGGCAGGCCACAATGCCGTTGTCGGTAGATCCGGTAGCGGTGCCATCTGGATCGCCAATACTTCTTCCCCTGACCGGCCCGTTCCCGTTGGCGCTGTTGGCGAGATCTTGATTGAAGGTCCCCATCTTTCCCGTGGCTACTTGGACGATCTGTGTCAGAAACCAGATGTGGGATTTCTCAGTGAAGTCCCTCGGTGGATTGCAGATCTCCACCCGTCCCGAGCATCAACCTCTCGCATCTATCGGTCTGGTGATCTGGGGCGGTATCGCCACGATGGCACAGTCGAGCACATGGGTCGAAAGGATACACTTCTTAAACTCAACGGTGGACGTGTTGAGTCGACCGAAGTCGAGTACATTCTTCGGAAAACTCTTTCACTTGGTGATCTCACCGTCGTCGATATGCTCGGTGAGATTGGCGGTAGCTATGATCCTGTTCTGGTGGCCTTTGTTTACCTGGTTGATAACCCGACAAATCTTCTTCCTGGAATCCCAGACAATGAAATGTCGTTCCTTCCGATAACGAACCGTGTCCGAGTGAACAGCTTGGTAGAAGCGATGCAGAATGAAGTCCAACGCACGCTGCCAAAACACATGATGCCCAGCTTGTTTCTCCTTGTCGACCGGATTCCCCGTACTAGGTCTAACAAGCTTGATCGCAGAAAATTGCATCAATTGGCCCAAAAATGGTATATAGCGGAGTAAAGAAGGGAATTTGGAAAAGGCCGAACTGTTGGTGATCAGTCCCGTGCAATGACCCGCCCATGGGCCGAAATTTTGCTAGCTGGGTACTCATTTGGCCACTAAATTGCATTAATTTTATGGATTTTTCAATATTACTAGTGGTAATTTATTTATGTATCAAAATAACGATTTTAACTAGGCTAAATACCAAATAGATTACCAAATCTAATATATAATTGAAATGAATACATATATTATAAGACGGGAACGCTCGCTGGCAGTCTGCGTTGGCAGACGAGTAGATCGCAAGAGGACAAAACCACCGCCTTCGAGGAGTGCAGGAGAGTAGTAGGCAAAGCTGTACCCTACTGGGAAATAACTTTCTAAATATAGTTAAGGCTTTGTTGGCATTAGGGTTTGAGAAACAATGAAAGCATATAGGTAGTGACACTGATTTCCGGAAATACAGTACACAATATTTCTAAGCGATCAAGTTCTAAAGTATTTTTTGCAAACTATGAGAAGATGCAGTCAAGAAGACCTGACATTAATTAAGAAGGAAGTTTACATTACCGTATTACTTAGCATGATACGAAAAGAAATATTACTGTGCAAGTTAAGTCGAAGTAAACTGATACTATATTGACTGGACAACAAAATCCTCCCCTAATTATCAATGTTCTGCCAATATAAACCGTAAGTGTATCTAAGTTATATCGTTCAGCATATATATTGTACTGTAGTGGATATGTTACATACACAAACGACCACAACTCATTATGCTGGAGGAGAAGACAAATAAAACGAATCGAAATCCGTCGGTGAACGGGTACTCCTTACCCTAGGCATCACCGGGCACCGGTTTCAACATTTTCAATACCTGAGACAATTGTAAAACTTTTTCTTAAGTATGTAAGCCAAATAGAAAGCGGTTTCTTTGCATATTCCAGTTTATGAATCAAGGAAATGCATTTTAAAACAAAAAATCTAGACTGTTTTTTGATAATCCTTTCAGATACATAGGAATAGATAATTTGCCCTTTGATCTATCAAACAGTTCTTTTTCGAAAGCTTTATAACTGTCTTTTTATGTATTGGCCTAATGCTTTTGGTCCTATTGGTATTAAGTTACTATACTGAGTAGTCTACCTTTTTGACTGTCAGACAATAAGCAGATTAAGGTTGTTTACTACAAAAAAGCAATAATAACCTTCTTTCTTCTAGTACTGTGGTCAAGTTATTTGCCCAGAAGGCCTGTTCGTGGTGTAGCTCAGAGGTGTAGTTCAGAGACGTTGATTAAGTTATTATTTTGGTGGGAGTTATTGAGGCTATATACGAGATCATGGTTTGCTGATGTCCGCTCCGCTCTTACCAGGAATATTTAACACTTGGGCTATTAGGCTCTTCCGTGCGCTTGCTGTATCTGCATCCGCCACTCTGCATCTTTCAAATATTATTTGCACAAGCACCATTTCACTTATGGTGGTTAAACACGGTTCCTAGTCAAATAAGCCTTTCATCGTTGTAAGGCCCATCCCCCTTCAATTGACTAGCAATGATACTGATCTTGGCCCCATCTTCAGTGGTAGTAATATTACTGCTCAGGCTATCCGTCCACTTTCGAACCAAGTGACCCTTGAGAATTATCCACAGCATAATAAGATCCACGAAGAGTATAAGGAAAGCACCAATCCCCCACATCGATCCGACACCAACAGAGCCTTGCCACTGCGTCACAATGAAAACAGACATCAGCCCAAACGATACTCTGTAGGCATTGAGCGAAACAGAGGCCTCAACGGGGTGATGCAAGAAACACTCGATGATGTAATTGTAGCAGACAGGAAGAGCTAGTAGAGCACTGAACCAGATCAGGAACGAGCCTAGCGCCAGAACCATGAAGTGGAGGTGATAATCCAGCCCTGCGCCGTAGATCCTCAGTCCAATGGGGATGATGATGCTCGGTAGGATAGTGTTGGCCAATCTGTACTCAGTGTGCCAGGTTCCGCCACGGCGACGAGCCAGCCATAAGGGTATTTTATCGTTGAACAAGAAGCCGTAGACCTGCGCCCCGATGATGCCGACCCAGGCGGTCATGGTGAAGAATGCCATTTGGAGCGATGAAAAGCCGTACCCGTCTGCTTCGGTGGGTGGTTCGAGGTAGGTCGCTAGTGTCGAGGCTTGCATGAGTGGAAGACCGAGGGCAATAAAGAGAAATGGAATGATTACCCGGCGGACCTGAGATAGTGACTTTCCGTTAGTCCTGGTTTCTTTTCTCTTATAGGACTCGTGCCTTACCAGCTCTTTGCATTTGTTAGAGGGCTGAGTTTTTGTGCCAGGCAGGAAGGTTGCAACGCGGTTTTCAAACCAGCTCCTCGGAAGAGGTGCACGCCTGGGCATGGAATCACGGCGAGGAAATGTAGTATCCTCAACGAAGAGGAAAACAGCCACGATTGCACTGCCAGCGGGGCCCAGGGTCCACCAAAAGACATAATTCCAGGGCTTAGTTTCAGCAATAAACCCGCCTAGGGTGCCACCACTAACAACCGCAAAAATTATAAGCACTTCAAAGATTGCAAATGCCTTGCCTCGTTGATGCAAAAAGAACATGTCCATGATGTACCCACTGCCCAGGATAGCAGGGATGCCGCCGAAAAGGCCACAGATGAGCCGCGAGATAGTAAACGAGATATAATCATCTGGGCCAGTCATCTGGGCCGCCCAGATCTGGCATACAAGAATAACCGCCAGACTCCAGAGCACAACCGAACTGCGACCAACTACCGCAACAAAGGGGATGAAAAAGAACGGACCGGCAACCCAGCCTGCAAGACCTGCCGCCACAGAACTGAGTAACGCGGCTTGCGTACTGTGATAAGCCGGTATTTGATAGATAAACGTGAGCTGGTTGGAATTCGGAGACATCTGGCCTGCGAAACCAGCCAGGCAAATGGAGGCGAACACAAGCAACTTCCTGTGGATTGTCCAGTTCTACAGCCATCAGCATTATCATATTTTGATGGTAGGGCGTTTCTTATCAATGGGTCCTCCGAGTCATCGCTCGGTTGAGGGATGAGCACAATACCATTGTCATTCTTCGTCAAGGACATAGAATCGGTCTCAATCCTCACATCAGGCGAGGACACCTTTATCTCTGTATCTGCCATGGTTATCGTAACTTCTGGTGTGGAATCCACTTGAACAGGGAGACGAGGGGAAAAAGAAAAGAAAACGAAAACAAAAACAACGATACCCCAGACTCTTAAGCTGATTTATAGGCAAATCCCCTTTAAGTTATCCATATATCGATATCTACCTAAACCCTAGTATATTTGAGATCCTACAAATACTTAGGATTCTTAAGCTCCTAAAGAATCAGTTTATATACCAACTGTCCAATCTGATCTCTACTATCCAATTTCCTTGCCTAGTCACAGGTCTCTAGTCTGACAACTTAGTAACCATTACGCAGACAAGGTTAGCGAAAAATGAAAAATAAAATATATGTATAAAATCATGCGAATATAAATGTGAAAATTATTCGCATTCCTTATCCCTTTCGGAACTCTAGGCAACAGCAAACAGGTTCAGAGGGCTCAACCCTTTCGTCATCCGAGTATTGGGCATCTTCATTTCAAGCCCAACCTTTTTTTCCAAGCTGGTATCATATTTAAGATTGAATGTCTCTGAGCTTTAGAGACAAATTCGATCATTTGTTTCCATCAACATCTACTGAAGATTCCACGAGATTAACATGGCCACCAAACGATGGAGGACGAGACGCTTTCAATATTGCTCCTAGTTGGGTTTCCGACGGAATATGTCAGACGACGCAAGCATTAATCCACTCTCGATATCAAAAGATCCTGCGAAGCAAAGATGTTTTACATTTTGGATGACTGAGTGGAAGAGGAGACTTCGCAGAGTGGCAGGGAGCTCAATAGGACCGGTGTAGGAGGATCCCAGACGGCCGTTGTCGGATTCCAGAAGGTCAAACACCGGCCAAAGCAGATGCTCCCCCCCCGATTGCCATCATGCTTCCTTTCATCCGGTGTAACCAGCTGCTTCCTTGGCAAGGTTGGAGATGGCTGCCGAAGATCTGGCTGCACGCTGTTGAGACAGCACGCCAGAAATCCGGTGCGGCAAGGCCATCAATGATGGACGTGATCTGGGGAGATTGAGGACCATCAGTGTGACTCTCCATTGAGGCTCGAGGTCCGTCCAGAGTCTGACTGATGATCAAGCCCGCAACGAGGTCCACGGGAGAGATGTAGATCCACGAGTTGGGGTCCTCTTCATTGTTGTACACACCACAAGCCAGAGCGGAGCCCACCACACGCCAGAGATAGTCGCCCACATTGGCCATCCCGATGTCCGTAGATCCAATTATCCAGCCTGGCCGAACGATGTTCACATGAAGATTTTTGCAGGATGAATTTCGATGGAACTCTTTGATAGCCAGTTCGGACATAAACTTACTTTGGCTGTATCCATCGGAGGTGGACAAAACCTTGGCCACACTACGATCGTCATCCTTGACTGGACAGCTGGGCAGGAGAGCCGAGACATATGTGAATGCCACGGGATATGCCAGCTGCGTCAGGGCACGTAACAGGTTGACCGTGCTTTCTGTGTTGACTGACTGAAGTTTGTGGTAATCTTGGCCCCAATGAACCCAGGCGCCGTTGTGAATCACACTGTCAAATCCTCCCTCCGAATTTCCACGGCCGCACAGTATCTTCCACCGACTTTCAGACAACCCCAAACAAGGCTTGGACAGACATCCTTTCCATGCCCGAATCTGATTTCGGTAGGACTCTCTCCACCAGCCTGCGACATGAGCGCTTTGAACGACACGCCGCATCGCCACCGTGTCTGACTCGGCGCGAACAAGGACCGTGACCGACTGTACCCGGGGATCTTCAAGCAGGGCCTTCAAGATATGCGTCCCAAGAAAGCCGGTGCCACCTGTTAACAGAACGTGCCCAGTTCGAGCATTTTTCTCATCTGGACCTACAACGAGACCATTGGAATCCTGCAATTTCCGTGACTGTACACAAATGCTACGTATTTTCTCTCGTAGAATTTGGTACTCTGCCCAAAGGTCCATTGTCACTGACGGCCCGGGCCTCAGGGCTTGCATGGCAGGTGGCATCGAGATCATGAGAGCCACGTCGCGAATGGTTAAGCCGGCTCGAAAGAGTGGTGCCACGGACAGCCGAACGTCGAAACGGCTGGAAATCGCCACGGAGATAGCCATCATGTCGATAGAGTCCAGGCCAGTGCGAGACAGTGTAACATTCTTCCCCACCACGCGGCTTCTGTCCACTTTCAACCGCGAATGAAGAACGTCAGCCACCACTTCAGACACCGCCCACGCGGTGGTCTCCGTAGCTGCCAACGGGGCATCTCTCGCCTGGGCACCAGTACATCCGAGAGACAAGAGCATCTCGGGGGATAGCAATTCAGCCGCGGCTCGAACCTTTCGTCGATCGGCTTTGCCGGAAATCGTGAGCGGCATTTGGCGCGTGAGAAACCACAGAGAGGGAATCATCACCGCCGGCACGGTGGCCGAGAGCTCCTGTTCAGCTTGGGAGACTGTGTGCGCAAATCGGGAATTTGGGGGGACAAACAAGGACCCATTTCTAGATTCAACCTGGGAAGTGGAAGTGCTGAACATTTCTTTGTTTGACGTTTCAACCACTGCCACGAGCATAGGATGACCGTCTCCATCATTTGCGCCTGCACTCGGTTTGATTATGTCCGCCATGAGCGTAGTGAACTGGGATCCGAGAGTTTCCGTCAAATGGTGTTCGACATCCATTAGATTGAGGCGTTGTCCGCGCAGCTTTACTTGATGATCTTTCCGGCCGAGGAAGAGGCAGGTCCCATTGGGATTGAGCCGCACCAGGTCGCCTGTCTTGTACAACCTCTCCACAGAAGATGAATCCATGTTGCTGGACCATTCGGTTTGATCCAAGAATACAGAACTGGACTTTTCCGGCTCGTTCAGATAGCCGCGCCCAACGATGCGCCCCTGGAGGACTAATTCTCCAATTGCCCCGATAGGCATCAACCGATTGTGGTCGTGCTGGTCCACCACCCATATCGAACATCCCATTCCCCTCCCAATATTGCGAGGGTCAACAGATTTGCCGTGTATGGTTTGAACGGTTGCTCCGGTGCAACATTCAGACGGCCCATAACCGCACAACAACGTGACTGCGGTGGCCCATACTGCGACCTGGGAGGGTTGTAACGTCTCTCCGACGGCGACCACAGTCTTCACGCTGGGAACGTCAGAAGGTGCAATGAGCCGAAGCATAGAAGGAGTAAGGCAAATCCATTCGGCTCGGTATTGCCGAATTGCTGGACCAATTCCCCCAGCCAGCTCTTCGGCAGATGGAATGCAGACACAGCCGCCGGTACACAGCGTCGTGAATATCTCGACCGCAAAGGAGTCGAATGCATATGAAGACAATTGCAAGACACGACTACCGGCTCCAATATGGAGTTTTTCACGCTGCGCAACTAGGGCAGAGCAGTAAGATCCATGTTCAATTTCCACGCCCTTGGGGTTTCCGGTCGAGCCGGAGGTGAAAACCACATAGAGCAGGTCGCCATGGTGCGAGGAGTCTACATCATTGTCCACAGGCGGTGGCTGAATGCAATCCCCTCGCACTGCCTGATCGGAGACCAGCAGAAGTTGAGGGGCAAAGCTCTCGCAGTATTCCGTACATGCAGCGGACGTTACAATCCATTGTGCCGCTACTGCGTTACATATGCTTCGGTTTCGATCGTAGGCTGCATTGTGATCCAGTAGGACAAACGCAGCTCCGGTTTTTATGACGGCGAAAATGGCGATGACCAGCCACTTGGAGCGCTCCAGACAAATAGGAACAATAGCCCCTGCCCCAATGCCCATGGCACGCAGTCCGATCGCACCTGTCTCAGACAACTGCTGTAATTCTTCGTATGTGAAAGATCCATCCCAGGCGCAAACCCCCTGCTCTTTTGGGCGAATCTGGCATTGGATTTTGACGAGGCCATGGATCGTGTACTCGACGCGGCTGGGCCCAGGTAGTTCCCACTCGCATAGTTGCACCTGATCCGCTAAGCATAATCGATCCAGTTGGTCAATGCGAATAGACGTTGCCTCGTGCAATTGAGACAGGATATGGCTGAACTGACGAAGAATACGCTCCCCTTGAGCCCGGGGAACGATTTCATCGTCAAGTAGGAGCTCCAACTCCCAACTCTGGTCCGTCATGCCAGGGGTACATAGCAGAATAACCGAATACCCCGGAATAAACCCGTCTGCCCCCAGTCGCTCTTCGACAGATTCAAAGACCGCTGATTCCAGTGGAGCCTTTGACGGTTGGATCACGACCAGGGTTTGGAACATACACGCTGTAGATGCATCATGACTGGTACGGGAAATGGAGGGCAATCCCGCATGCTGCCATTCAAGGGTTGACTGCATGTTTGCATGTGTCATTTGAAGCGCCTGGTCAACGCGCATAGATCGATCAATCGTGTGACGGAAAGGGATGGTGGCCATCGTCGGCCCCATAATGTCATCTATTCCCGTCAACGAGGACAGTCTTCCGTTGCTGATGGTCCCGTACACCACATCAGGAGACTGAGTGTAGAATGAGATAAGGATAGCCCATGCCAAATGGACTTTGATTGCTGGGGTCACTTGAGGGCTAGTAAGTACTGACAGATCACTTTCTCCCTTCCCTGGTTGGGAGTTCTGCAGGAGAGAGTGATGGTAGGCTAATCTGGTGCGGAGTTGGGGGGGGCTGATTGTTGGCGAGGGTCTCAGGAAAGACAGCTGAGTTGAGATCGCGAAAGTAGGAACGCCAGAAATCCTGTTCGCGGGCAAGATCTCGGTCTTGAAGGAAGGAAACGAATCCCGAGAACGGGCGCAGAGGCAGTGATTCACCACGGTATGCGGCTTCAACATCTTGTAACATCATTTCCCACGACCAACCGTCGTATACTGCATGGTGAATAGTGATAACGAGCTGTGCCTTTGGCATGGAACCGTACTTTTCCTCTGCTCTGGACTCCGTGTCCGGGTCTGTGAAACCAACGAGGAATAGAGGAGCTCCGGCACCCATCTTCATGGAAACTTCACTTGCCAAATAGTGTTCCTGAGAAGTGTAGTATTGCACCAAGAGCTCAGAGTAGACCGTGACGACCTGGTAGTTCCCGATGGATGTTTGAATGATGCGGGTTCGCAGTATGTCGCTGGATCGAACCACGCTGTTCCATGCCTTCACCAACCGGCGCCGGTCGACCTCGGGAGATAGCGTTAGCATGAATTGATCGACGTAAGCCCCGGAGCCACCGGAGGTGGCAGAGAAAAGACCCTCCTGAATAGATGTACATGGGTAGATGTCCTGAATGGACTCCTCCCCAATGCCGCATTGCTCTCGGGCCATTTTCAAAATCTTGGTACGATCATCTCCATTTTCCGGGAGCATAGAATAATATGGGATCGCAGTAGACTTATCCGGAGAAGTTGCTGCTTCCCACATTTGAATTCTTCCCGCCAAGTCCCTTAATTTCAGATCGTGTTGCAAGAGATCCAAGGTGTTTAGAGACTTTCCAGCCTTTCGCGCGTGACTAACTAGTCTCACCGCGGCCAATGAATCTCCCCCCCAAATGCACAAAGGTACTGTCCATATCTAAATCTGTCACATCTAGTCCCAATGTCTCTTGGACCAGAGACGCCACTTGATGCTCGGCTGCGGACAGCGCAGTTCGCTTGGGTCTCCCATTCACCCTGGACTTAAGGAGTTTGGTAAACTCGGAATTTTTTAGCCCGGTGAGAATGCTGGCGAGCTGTTTTTTATTGACTTTTCCAGTAGCTGTCTTGGGTAGAAGTGGGAGCTCAACCATAATGGCAGGGATCATGTACCGCGGCAGAAGGCGCCTCATTTCATCTCGAATCGCATCCTCTCTACTGTAACGCTTCATCTCTCCATGCGCACCAATTTTGCACAACGATTTCACTCTCAGTTTATTGGCGGTTGTCCTCTCCGCGAAGAACGCGACGACTTTCTCTTGCCGGTGGGCGCCCGGCAACATCAGAACATCCACCGAGATATCCATGTTCGTCTCCAATTGTCGCAGGGTGAATTCGATGTTTTCGATATCTATCCGTTGACCATTGATTTTTCGCACGTTGTCCCTTCGGCCTATATATCGCATCGAGCCGTCCGGATTGTATTGAACCAGGTCGCTGGTTCTGAAGAAGGCACCGCGAAGTGGAATGTCAAAGGTAGACCTCCAGCTGGGAGCTGAAACAAAGACTTGTTCGGTTTTCTCTGGCTCGTTCAAGTATCCGTGAGCAACTATCGGTCCTTCCACGAGAAGTTCGCCTATTCCTCCAATTGGGGTCAGGATGTTCATGTTATGGGGGCTCACAATCCACCCAATACACCCAACAGGCCGGCCTATTGTTCCATCCACCCAGCATCGTGGGTTCATTCGAGTTGCCACACAGATACTCACTTCGGCTGGCCCAAAGCCGTTGTACAACCTATCACCCCATGTTTGGACCAGGTCATTACCCACCGCTTCGCCCCCAACAACAATAGTTTCCATCGTCGGAAGGTCCGAGGGAGTGAAGTTTCTGAGAATTGTGGGTGTGATAAACGCCCATGTCGGTTGGTATTTTGAGATGAAAGACGGGAGGCTATGCAATCTTTCCTCCTCTGATGGGGTATATACTGTCCCTCCTCGCACCAGTGCATGGAAGATCTCATAGATGGCCATATCAAATGCATATGACGAGAACTGGAGGGTCTTTGGTGGACCATCAATGCCCGTGGCATGCCCGTGGTGGTGCATCGTCGTGCTGATAGCTCGGTGGCTTAAAAGAACGCCCTTGGGTTGACCCGTACTTCCAGACGTGAACAGAACGCAGGCAATGTCTTCTTCATTGCCTTTCGGGGGCTGCCAGCTCGTTGATGGCTGGGGCAATGATTTCAACGTTTTCTCTGAAATAATCAGGCCATCAACATCTTTCAACCGCGTCAATCGGTCGTATTCGGTCTCCGATGTCAGCACCACCGCGGACCCGGTCTGTTCTATCACTTTGGCAATATAGGGAGTTGGATGGCTCACACATATCGATGTGCTTGCCGCGCCCGCTTTCAAGACGGCCAATATGCTGACGATAGCCCAGAGCGACTTTTCAAATAAGATGGGGACAATTGCTCCCCTGCCGATACCGCGCTCGACCAGAGTCGCAGCGAGAATATAAGAGAGCTCATCCAATTTTGCATATGTTAAGCATCCCTCAGTGCTGATAGCCGCGTTCTGGGTGGGTAATTCACGTGCTTTTGCTTGGAAGGACTCATGCAGCAGACATTGCGATCTCAAAATATCTTTCGAGTTCCAATTCATCAGAACGGCCTTGTCTTGGCCGCTGATCACGTCGATATCTCCGAGGGATTGGGTTCCATCTTGCTGCATGAGTTGTTTTAAAATGCTTTGGTATTGATCTAAAAACCGCCGTGCCTGTTCATCAATACATTTCATAGCGTCATAGTACATATGGGCGTCTATGAGTGTATCCGCTTGCAGCCAGCACATCAATTGTAGGGCTTCATGCGAACGGAGTCGGAAGTCGGCACGTTCCTTCGGTGGACGATCGTGGCAGTTCATAATTTTCAGCGTGACACGGGAGGCTATTTCGTCGTTCTCCCCTGTCTGGGCTTCTGACTCAACGGGGAGACTGGGCCATCTGAGAAATTCCGCCGTCTCCTTCACGGCTGAATCTATTGAAGATGCTGGCCGTACTTTGAATGGGATATGCCGAACGCAATCTTTGTTCCCATGAACCGAGAGAAGGAAAGATTCAGATATGTTGTATTCTTTGAGGAGGATAGCCCATGCCAGAACCAAGAACGAAGTTGTTTGTTTCGAGTGCTCTCCTCCATGGACATCTAGCACAGACTGAATGTGTCGAACGTCGCCGTAGTCCTGTCTTCCCTGGCCGGTCAAGTCCTTTGATTGCGGAAATAAGCAATCTCCCGAGACTTGCAGTCCGTTTCCTGCTTGGTTCTTCGCGATTAGCCCCGAGGAGGGGTCGATGACACCCTCAGGATCTTGTTGTATCCCGACCATTCTCAAATGCGGGGGCCAAAAAAGGATAATTCAGAGTTTGCTTGCAACGGAGATGTGAAAACTAGAATTTATTGATCTTCAAGCTATTGATAACACTGAACAGCTTTAGGTTTAAACATGGCTTCCCTAAAATCGTCATGAAGACCAGCTATTCGCCAAGCGTCTTTGCAATATACTACGGTACTGCACTATTGGAATGATAGCGGTCCCTTACAGTGCAGTCCCTTACAGTGCAATCCCTTACAAATTCTTCAAGTGGCCCTTGCCGTGCAAAAACGGCCATTTATGCTCTGCTAATCATCAGCATGAAAAGAGAAGACCAATGCTGATATCGTACCATGCGATGAAAAGTGATGCAGAAGTTGTACAGACGACCCTCTATCTAATCGTAGATCATGTAGCTCTGGATCATGCATGGTCACGCAAGGGATCACTTACCTGATCTACGCGCTACATCAACAAGGCAATTGACTGGGTCATAATAGGGGCAAACGGCCCCCTGAACAAAGTTTTCGGGCCAATTAATACCCACAATATCATATATACCCTCTTTAGCAAGTTTTAAGCAAACCCATAACTCCGTATCTTGTTTTTTGAGTCGAATATATTTCTAGATATTGGTGCATGACATAGTCTTGGGTAATGTATGCATTCATGGCAACATATCTCTTTAATTCATTGCATTCATCTACTGGTTCTTTCAGAGATATTTATCAATTACATTTCAAGAAATACCGAGTAAACCCTAAAGGGATGATTAGAATGCTAGGCTAAATTAATTTCCACTGTATATTTAAGAATTATAAAAAGCCACAACAATCATCTTTTTGAATGAGAGGCCCATACCGGAAAAAAATTTTCCAAGTGGATCGAGCACCCAATGGCCCAGCATTGAGTGCGGTGTGGCAGTAGAGGTAATCAAGAGTTTCTTCAGATCCTTTCAGCTGCGCCATTAAGTCCAGCGTGGATACTTCCCGCCAGATCAGGATCTAATATCCGCCACAGACAAGGGGCACGGAACATGGCGTTCGATTTCGTGCTGAAGATGGCCATGAGACAGTGGGGGCTCGGAATTCTCGGAACCTCAGGTGACGATTCAATAGGAATGGTTCAGCCTTAGCCGACAGACCGCCGTTTTGCTTTTTGATACCGCGACTAGCATGTATAACGACGCATGTAAGCATGTGGATACCATACTTGTCCCGAACTCGATGCGCTAGCGGATATTGTCTCCACAACTACCCCTTACCATGGATCGTCAAAGTCTTGGCTTACCCATATTTTGATGATGGCCCTAATGAATGCAATGCATCACCTCTAGAGGGATCACATACAAATACCACCGCAGGTGCGGTATCTGACTGATTCACAGCGCAGACATACTTTGGCGTGGATCACATATTTCGCTTGTGTAACCTTTTCAGCACTCTGCAGAGAATGGCTGAGAGGCTCGCTACTTCATGTGCCTCGTCAGATTGATCTCGCGATTTGGTTTTTTGTTTGCTCGCACCTGTGATATGCATGTCATAGGCTGTGGGGTTTTCCTTTCCGCCCGAAGGAGGAATCCTGGCCCCGACCCGGCTGGATCCCACTTGCTAACATCTGTGGAAGTACAAAAGCACCGGCACTGCACTCAAGACCCGTGACTTACACTGATTGAGAAAAGCCCCATCTGTCTTTGGTTTCTCTGTTGAGGCTACCTTGTCCATTCTTTTTCCTCCAGTAGTTAGGACAATGAAGCAGATCAGAGCAATCGCGGTCATTGGTGCGACAGGTGAGTCGGCTGTTCCCGACATCCGTACCAGATTCTCACACTACATAGGCACCCAGGGAGGTTCTGTCGCCCACTCACTTTTGGATAACAAGGCCTTCGAAGTGCGATGTATTACGAGAAACGCGTCGTTGCCCCGAGCAAAGGCTCTCGCGTCCATCGGGGCTCAAGTGATCCAGGCTGACACCACACAACGCTCAGAGCTGGAGAATGCATTCTCGGGATGCTGGGGTCTCTTTGTAAACTACAGTGTCTATGTAAGCTCGACTGTGACCTATTCGCTCGGTCTCAATGTATTGCCATCGCGCTAACCCCATCTTGTCTCTCACTACCCAGGGTGCCGATATCGAGGAAGCAGAACGTCTGGGGAAAAATATATTCATTGCAGCGGCCGCAGCGGGGATCAAACAGGTTGTCTTCAGTTCCGAGCCTCATCCTGAGCGGCTCACAAATAGAAAAGTCCCTCTCGATTACTTGGATGGTAAGCAATGCTGACTTCTCCTGACCTCCGGTTCACCCTCTACCTTGCTGACCGCGTCCCCTCATCTTTTCTCTCAGTCAAAGCACGAGTTTATGAATGGGTCTATCAGAATCTGATATTCGACAGCTTTACTCCCATCATGCCTGGCTGGTTCATGGAAAATATGCAAGATCCCCTTATGCAAACGCTGCTGGGAGGATTCCCTTGCAACAAGGACAAGGATGGATACTTGACATGCCGCGCACCTTTATGGGGTGGAATTGAAGATGTGCCCTGGGTCAGTATAACTGATGACTTTGGGGACATGGTTCATGGCATATTTCTCGATCCGATTCGATGGAATCACAGGCCGGTTCAAGCGGTGGCCGACCCAATGTCGTTTGGAGAGATGACTCGAATCTTTTCACTTGGTAAGTCACATAAATCAGACGAGACTAAGGGAGCATGAGCTCACCTCACACTTATTAAGTCACGGGACAGAAGGCACGATACACGTCATGTGAATTGTCTGAGGTTAGGTTCGGGGTAACATATGACAACCTGAAGAACTCGGATCACAGCGCCTTGTTTAGATACTCGCAGTTACGGGATGGCGAGTATTATGGCAATGGCCCTACTGAGACCCGAACCTCTAGCCAACTCAAGAAAGCTGCTTTCAAGGCCAAAGGAGGAAAGGGGCGAGAAACTCTTTTGACACTGCGGGAATATCTTGAGCAAGAATTCTCCTGAGTGATTGACTCGTTTGCTGATGTATCGCGCAATTATTGCTAGTCGTACTCCATAGACGGGACACATACAGTAGAATAAACAAATAGAACCCATTATCCCAAGTTCACCATCTCAAAGCCACGCAAAGCATGATTATATACATTGTAATTCAGAAGAATGTTAGGGCCGAATGGAAAGTCTTATCATGATAGATATGCCAGCTCATAACACAATACGAGGAAGCACCGGGCCTAACATATGGCTGTTTAATCGCTTTTGAGGCATACGAACGTCCTTTAGGAAATTGTCAACTCTATTAGAATGTGAACAAATTTAATTGACACACTTTAAGTCGTACGTATTTGATGTGTTTGCTAAGTAGAAGCGTGAATTCTAGGATCTTCGTCCCGAGGCACCCATCATATATATCTTTCATTGTAGGCTGTCGACTGGGAAAGATTTTCAGGTTTTGACAACAACTTCAAGCAGTGACGCCCGACGGCCACCATTGTTAACAGGTGATGCCCAAAGTTTTACCAGCTGCAAGTCGGCCGAATGCAACAGTGCTTGCCATCCTGACTCGGATCGCTCTGGGGCGGAAAAGAGAGTCATCATAGCCCAGTCATCGCGAGCCTGTTCCGGTGACAGATCGAGAGGGTTATCGGAGAGAACCCAGTCGTAGATGAGCAGAAGAGAATCTGGACCCATGGCTATACGGATATTGTGCAGGATCTGAAGAGCTTTATCATCAGGCCAATTGTGCAGTACCTTGCCCAAAAAGTAAACATGGGCGTTCTCGACCGGCTGTTTATCGAAAAAGCTATGCTCCATGCGTTTCATGAGACGTTTTGCTCCGGCTTCCCAGTCAGCGTCATGGCTGTTCACATAATTTGGGCCATCTTGGACAATGAATTGACAGGGGAGGTGAGAAAATCGACTCATTACTGCCTTAGCCTCGTGACCATGACCTCCTCCCACGTCGACGAACGTCAAAGCCTTTATGTCTTTCTGAGATCTCTCATAGAGTTCCTGGAACTTTGTCTCAATTGGAAACCACATAGCCCACTCCGCGGGAGTGCCTTCGCCCGCAGTAGCCTCCATGAAACGGTTAAATGCTCCCTGCAGCTGAGGCTGGGACTGGAGCCAGTCGAAAAAGGACAGTGACGTCCCAAACGTGTGCTGGAAAACGCCACAATTGAAATTTGCTGGGTTATTATACCCGCCGTTTTCGAAGAACGCGATAGTATTTGCCGACATTTTGAGTGCCAGATCCCTAAAATACAGTGAGATATTCGTGACACAGAAAACCAAAGCAAACTAAGATATATCTGACTTACACTGTCAATAGAATACCATCACGAACCATCCCACCGTCCGCGAGAGACTTGCTGTATTGGTTTAATTTGTACATTCCCTCTTCGGTGGCGTGGAGAAGGCCCAGGCTAGCCAATGCCCTCAGTGTGCGTGCTAGATCTCACTTCAGTCATCATTCGCATCCAACGATCGGGAAAAGCTAGAATCGCCCAGACTTACAGGCCAACGCATAATCGCAGCCGCTCCAACCGACGACCTCGCTAGGCCCAAAGATAGATTGAGGTTGGTCAAAAACTCGCAATTGGATGCCCATTCTGGCAATAATCAAGTCTTGGATCTATTCACGTTAGAATGAGATGAGAGGTACTTCGTCATCCAGACTACAGTGGTCGATACAGAAAGAGAACGCACCTGGAAAGCCTGGTTTAAGAGCCTGTCGGTGGGGCTCTCCAAGTCTTTGGCCAGCGAGGCGCAGGCTTGACGAAGCTGGGCGACATCTTTGTTCTCAGCATTACTAGGGTCCATGATAATCTCCCTAGTCTCATTGATCGAGGCAATTAGGTGTGGAAGCAGCATAGCTATGGGAATGACCAGCAACCGGGTCCGAGAATGAGTTCAAGATTGAACTAATGCGAGAACAAAGTTTGGAATTGGGAAAGTACATTGGGGTTAGGAGCCCTCATTTAAACTACACTTCCAGGTCAGTAATATAGATAAAACTCCAATTAGATTTATGCAAGCCGTGCTTGCCGCGTTGTATTTCGCTTAGAAGGATAAATCAATATATGTCGTTGTCTTAGAGTCTTTTACTGAATGGGCCTAAAATATTTTGTGTACTGAATTGTACTGAAGCGTACTGAAACAAAAGCATAGTGAGATGTCCGAGGCCATGATTTACACGCCTATTTCTACTTAAATATACTCCCTACTCGCCTCCATTGTGGTATGAATTTTACACAATACGCTTTTAATGGCCAGTGGTAATAATTCCACCTATCCACATCTACACCGATTGACCGTGTGTATTCGACCAGGGTAGATATGCACTATTTGAAGAGAAATGTAAGTATTGTTTACGTCGTAAATAGAAACTGAATTGTTAATGAAATTTTGGTTTCCATTGGCCCTAAAAGTACTATGTAACGAGTGTTGATGTGTACTGTACGGATCATGGAACATATGTGGGGAGTTGCTTCAAAACAATGCCAGGGGGAGACATCGTGCATATGCATCTGCAGGAAAAAAGTTGATGTAGCACTCTGCAAGAAATCGGAGTGGATGCCAAAGTTTTGTGTACTTCGACCCGCCCCGTGAACTTGCTTCTTCAGGACCCAGTGGTAGCGCTGGGTTACATGCGTAGATAATTACGCAAGGGTGCTAAACGGCGGTGACAAGGAATGTAAACATGATCTAATTCGTGGTAGAAGGTCGACAACTGCAGTTGACAGATCCACCATACACGGAGTCCTACACCGTATATTTGATCAGTATTCCACTTTCCTCTCTCACGAAAAGTGTGCGCAGGTACCGACATATCACGAGAATGCTGAATGGTGTCTTGGACCTAGTTGGAAGTTATGATGCTTTTCCTACCGCTGTCGCAGTTGGTTTTACAGTAAGCTCACGCTTGAACCACTATATCGATTTTCAACATACTAAAACAACGCCCCTTAGACAGCTATAGGGTTGTCATGTGTTTTGTTGTTGCTTGACACATATTTTCATCCCCTAGCGAGCTACCCGGGGCCGAAGGTTGCATGCTTCACTCGGCTCTGGTATGTATTTCATCTAATTCGAGGTACATTGCTTGAAGAGCTCCTGAAAGCACATGAAAAATACGGATATGTGGTTCGTGTTGCGCCAGATGAGCTGTCGTATATCTGCCCAGAAGCATGGAATGACATATATGAAAGCAAAGTTCAGCCGGAGATGACTAGGGACCCTCGATTCTTTCAGGATGCCGGTGGGCAAGGACAATCATTACTGACTGTCACTCATGATCACCATCGTACGATGCGCAAGAAACTGGCACATGGGTTCTCAACCAAGTCTCTTCGGGATATGGAATCCCTCCGATTATCCTATGCAGATCTCTTCATACAACGACTTTCTGAAAACGCTGAGGATGATGGAAGTGTGTTGGATCTCGTCAAATGGTACACAGTACGTTTGATGGCCTTTGGAACTGACGGGGAAGTTTTACTTTCAAGCATTGATGACTGACAATTTTCAGTTCTTCTCCTATGACATTCAGAGTGATTTGGCGTTCGGGAAGAGCTTGGATTGTCTCAAGACGTCAAGCTTTCACCAATGGGTCCAGTTGTTAAAGGAATTTGACAAAGTCGACCCCATCTTCAGAGCGGTAGCATACTTTCCGTGGGCGGCGAGATTCATGAATTATCTGACACCGCGATATTTGCTGGAAATGAACGTCAAGCTCACAGCAATATCGGCTGAAAAGGCCAAGGATCGAATGACAAGACCGGCCGGACGGTCAGACTTCCTGGAGCACGTCATTCAAACTACAGATGGCATGAGTGAGGCTGATATTTGTGCGAATGCCGTGGCTCTGATAGGAGCTGGGAGTGACACAACAGCGACTTTGCTTAGCGGCACGACCTATTTCCTGCTTCAACACCCTGAATTCCTAACCAAACTATCCCTGCAACTCCGTCAAAGCTTTCAGTCTGAGAGTGAGATAGACCAGGCCTCCGTGGACAGCAATGAGCTTCTTCTGGCCTGTGTCATGGAGACGCTACGTGTATATCCCCCGGCTGCCGTAGGATTTACTCGAGTGGTACCCAAACCGGGCGCAACAATAGCTGGGAGGTTTGTACCTGAAGGGGTGAGTCAAACCAATTGCACCTTGATGCATCTCACACGACATATTGCTAATAAAGCGGTTTCTCGTTAGACCACAGTTTGTATACCGCAATATGTAGCCAATCATTCAGCAATGAACTTTTCAAGGCCTGATGAGTTCTGTCCCACACGGTGGCTTGAATCAAAGGACTTTGAGCATGACCAGAAAAGTGTCTTTCGACCATTCGCCTGCGGTCCGTATAGATGTCTTGGAGAGAAGTACCATGAACCCCGTTCCAGCTACTATATTTCAATGCTAATTTTCCACAGATTGGCACTTTCTAATGTCTCTCTCATTCTGGCGAGGGTGTTGTGGAGATTTGACCTTTTATTAGAGCCTGACTGTGAGGACTGGGAACGACAAGCTGTGAATATCACTTATATTAAAAAGCCCCTCCGTGTTTCTATCAGAAAGCGGGCCGATTTAACAAAATAGCTCAGTTGTCATTCATCGGTCGGGCCTCATTTTTCTTTTGTTGGTACACATGGTGCTGAGGTCGATGAGATGGATATCCAAAATTTGACGCCGACCCCAGGGTTATCCTTCCTTAATCGTGCGCATGGAGCCATGTAATGATAAATTTGCCTAAATCAGCTTTCTTGCTTTCTTAGACACATTAGCAAACATGTCGTAACGCACGGTGCAGCTTATTGCTATCTAACTGGGAGGTTTCCTGACTCCTACATATTACACTTTCTCAAGAACGATCAATGTAGAGCACAATGTCTGGGGGGGAAAGATAAGCAGCAAATAGCAGCACAATCTGTTATAAATATCGAAGAGCCCAAGAAAAAGAAGGGAGGAGGAGGAGGAGGAGGAGGAGGAGGAGGAGGGAGGAGAGAGCTAGCTAGAGTCTTGGAGACGTTTATAATCACCCGATCTCCAACAGAAAGCTATTCCTGGACAAATTGAGACAGACGGTAAACCAAGATAAAGTGAGAGAAACAAAGAGCCAACCAAACTGAATGCAAACTTATGGCCCGATTTTGAGGCTAGCAGAACTAAAAGACACAATCTCAAGAAAGTTGATTGATGGATGAAGTGTAGTATCCGAGGGAGCTGAATATTTGTTTGAACCAGGCAAGTTTGAACACTGATTCAAAGGCATCGATAGCACGCATTTTTTCTATCATGTCTGACTCTCAACAGTTCAAACAGGGCCAGCCGATTTCTACTATACAGGTAGGGGGCCGGAGGTTCCAGGGGTACTTTCACGGTGGACTTGCCTTCCTCCTCCACGATTCCGTATCGGCCATCGCTTGGAATATTGGCCGGCACATACATGCTATTCGTGGCCACGGCGTCGGCGGCCTTGCTAAACTCTTCGTATGTGGACGTCTGGCAGTCGTGATCAAAGATCCACATTGCACGGGCTATCAGCGTAGGTAATTTGTCCTGCTGTTTGGCATCCCAGTCTGCCCCATGCAGAGACTCTAACATTTTCGCACTTCCCTCCCCGATGAAGCTAATCCGTTTGTATCTATATGGTCATTAGTGAATTATGCCTTCCGCGGACGTCACGAGAAGAATGGGACAATGGTCCGCTTACCTTAGCTTTTCCATCACCGAAAGAGCGAGTGGAATTCGATCCTTGCCGGCTAATTCTAGACATATCGCAACCACCGCACCGTCTTCAATACTCTGACTGGCACCCTGACCCGAGGTGGGAATGAAAGCATGTGCGGCGTCCCCGATGACCATCATTCGACCCTTTTCTGACACCCATCTCAATAGAGGATCAACCGCCATGACCAGATGATCATAACACGTCATATTCGGTGTGTTTTTGATCACTGCCGCGACTTTGTCTCTTGCGGGCCAATTTTCAATCAAGGCCAACGCCTTCGTCACATCAGATGGCTGAAGCCATGATTTCGACACACCGTCAGAGCTCTACGGAGAACGAGAAAGATTCCCTAGTCAGTGTCCTGAATGATTGCTGTACAGGAATTAATACGTACACGATGCAAACAGCCCCAGTACACGTCTTTGCCGTGTCTGCCAGTGCCCATGATGACTGCAATATCCTTACCAATGAAGTGGTTCAACTGATCAGCCTTTTCTGTGCCTTCTAGGATCCACTGCGCATCGGGGTGATCGTTCAAAACCTCAGCAGGATAGCCCGCGCGATATGTGGCAGCGCCACTCTTGGTGAGTGGTCTGGTGTCCCCGGTGATAATCGGACGCGCTTTGCTGTGAATACCATCACTGGCAATGACACAATCTGCCGAGAGCCGTTCGCCATCTGCTATGACGCCCGCCTGGCGATCGTCTTCCCAGTAGCTAGATACTGATACTCCGAATCGAAGATCGATGCCCAGACTTTTTCCGTACTCGTACAGAGTGCAAACTGTCGTCGACCGGTTCAGTACCAGACCTTCGCCTTCTCTATAACCGTTCATATCCTTTCGAAGCTTGACATTGGCTGCTTCATCCCAGACAGTAATGTTATCAACGTCGCAACGGACAGAGTCGAGGTATCTAGAAACGGATCCGCCGTCCCACTTCTGGATTACGATGGCCCCGTTGCTGGAGATGCTGAAGATATCGCCTGCTTTTTGTCAGATCTTTGTCCCTGCATTTTCTCGGAAGCTAAATTGACCTACCCAGATGTGTTGGTTTCGGGGTTTTCTCCAAACCGATAACCCTGTGACCTTTGCGGTAACATTCAATCGCAGCGGTCAATCCGGCAAGACCCAGCCCCACGATTATTACCTTGATACCGGATGAATTAGGCGGTGCAGTGCCATTTGGGCCGGAATGGGTGACAGTCATGATAACAGGTCACACGTCACTAATCTCTCTGACACAACTTGCAGAGGTGGGTGTGTCTGGGTTATTATGGGCTTTGGCCTTGGTTTGCGGTCAGTAGAGCCACTTAAGCTTGAATTGCTGGGAGAGATCCGGTCGATGCTGAAGAGGGCAGATCCGACTAAAATATTCAGCTTATGATCGGCATTCGTTAGTGATCCGACCATCTTGTCTAGGCATCACAGAATCCACTCGGCTGCAGTGTCCGTACTATCTATCTATCTGCTGGCACTCGTATTAGTCCACATTCCTCACCGCTATTCTTAAGAACACATATATCATTCCTTGGCATCTGACTAGAGTCCCTGCGTCATTCTGCAAGTTGTATTTGGTCCACGATAAAGGGATGATAAATCCAGATGGTCACGAAGCAAGGATGTAGCAAAGGTTGAATGCACCACAATGTTTAGTACCAGGCATTATTTGATGTACCAGGAGGAACTCGGACATAATAAATGCGGAAGACTATGAAGTTGAGTCCTGGAACCATCGGAAAGATGTTGAGGCGGTTTGCGCATTATAATATCTGAGTGGAACCATGGGAATAAACAAAAGATAGCCTAACTGCTCGATATTGCAGGCAAACGTCCAGATGAGCCTGCTATTATTAGCAGGCCGGATCTACAGCGTAGCCTAAATGGATTGACTTCCTCAGCATCCAGATATTTACACTGTGATGAAATGGACCCCATGATACACTCCCGGAGATCGAAGACTGATGACTCTCTAGGGTGAACTACTATTTAACCAATTTGCCCCCGGTGCGTGGATGTCAGCCGTACTATTCACTCCCAGCGATCCTTGATCACCTTTATTTTGAAGCTAGATGTAGCGCGGGCAACAATGCGGTCGGCCCATTGGATCCCTTCTTGGGACTGGTCGTTGTCCACCAATTGAAGTTCGAAATGACTGAATATAAAGGCGAGAACGGTGTATAGCTCCATGTAAGCGACGCTTCATGCCCAACCACTATTAGCATTATTCTTCTCGGATGTACTGCTGAATCAGATCGCTCTTCAACATACCTCATCCCAATACAACGACGCGAACCCTTTCCAAAAGGGACGCTGTACCTTTCGAGCTGCTCTCCCCCACGTATCCAACGATCAGGGTCGAATTTATGTGGCTCAGGAAAGATGGACGGATCCATATGAACGACAGGATGGCTGGTGGAAACGCTGGTCTGAACAAATTTTGTTAGTGAGAATATCCGAGCCCAACTGATCAGGGCTACGGTGGTCATAGTAGACTTCGTATAGGCTTACACCTCCAGGTAGAAAGAATGACCCAACTTGAACTCCGTCCTTCGGCACCACACGGGGCAGATAGCCAGGCACCGGGTCGGCCATCCTCATTGTTTCTCGGATCACTGCTCCCTAGACAGATAATATAAGCGACGTTGTCCAGAAATAGCGGAACAGAGTCTCGGAAAGTTTCATACCAGATACGGCAGATTTTGAATCGCCTTTGGATCGAAGTCATCACGTATCGTCACCTTGGCTTCATCTAGTTCCGATTGGACCTTGACCAAAACAGATGGCGAGCTCAGAATGTTAAAGGTAGCCCAGGATAGAGTGTAAGCAGTTGTGTGAATTCCTGCAGTCATGAAGTTGAATGCACCATCGAACACCTGCGCCACGTTTTGTATGGTGTCTTTGCGACTGTCAATTTCCAAATACAGATCGAAATATGACTTCCTGGCAGGGGGATTGCCAGTTTTCTTTCTGTGTTGTGCCTCCTCCAGCCGGTCCTCACAGAACTGCGCAGTCAATATCAGCATTGCCCCTCCGAGGATTAATTCCGACCTTGGGAATTAGGCTCACCTTTTTGAACCTAATAATTTCCGGGCTTAGCTTATGACCTATAGAAGAAGGGAGAGCTTTCATGACTGTTTTTAAGCCAGGAAACTCCATCACTGCTCAAGTTAGATTGGGTAATCTTGAAAGGAACTAGATAAATGGGCAGGGTGGACGGAGCAATTGATTGACATACTGAGCCAGGTAATAGACCCCAGATTGTCGACCTCGTTCAACAGAGGGTGGCCCTCATCGCCGGATTCGATGAAGTTGTAGCTATCCGCGAACATTAGCTCACACACTACATCGCCCTTTAGTCCGGAGTTAGCATCACTCATATTTCATATTAAACCTAGGTGCCTGTGTCTTACGATGAGCTCGCTGTAAATATTTTGGATGTTGACTGATTTGTCTTTCACAGCTGCCTTCTGGAGATAACCGGCTGTTTTGATCAAGGTCTCCAGGAGTCGAGGTTTCAAAGCAACCGTTGTTTGAGCGGAGAATAGCGAGCTCAAGTAAGAACGATGCTTTCGGTGCTCTGCTGGATCTATAAGAGAGGCCAATGCCCCGTCGGCGCCCAAGGAACTATAGAACTCGGGTTCTTTGTAATAAGGGGCTCCTGTACGAAATACACTGTTGCGTGGGTGTCAGTATTCAGCTACTAATAAATGGATAGATGATTCGTACGTCTCATAAAATTTCACATCATTGACATGAACTCGGTTGGGCGACACTCGAATTACGGGTGATTCTGTGATCTCATGTCAGGTTTTATGTTGTGACCTGGGACAATGACAGGGAAGTCAAGTAATATTACCGTATTTGCTATGCATTTCAGCGAAGCGTTTGCTGTATGTGCCATCTTGAATATAATTGTAATAGAACCCATAAAGGGTGCTGATAGAAGCGAGCCTCGGGCCTGGCACGGAAGCGAGTGGATGAAGGTATAGACGGCTGAATGCCTTCCACGATTGTGAAGCCAGATACACGGTGATCAGGGCATAGAGAATCTCGTTCCAGTGGACAAGTAACAAATATGTCCACTTCGTTCCCTCCTGTAGCGGCATGGTAGTAGATCCGTCAGCCATGATAGGTTTCACAGCCACTTAAGTCACCTTCACAGTGATCAAGAAAAAATTCGAAAATTGGACCGATATCCTATATACCATTACTCAAGAGTTAAAGACATCGACCATATGCATTCCGCGTGAATTAGAGAGGCGGTGGAACAACATCAATTTACTAGTTTGCTACCTTTGCACTCATGGGATGTCGAATTTTTACCTGTAAGGGGTATGCGGATTTATTCCTGCAACCCAATCTGCTACGGTACGGTCCGCGTATTCAGTGGAAGTGTTATGCATACCCGGCCGGTAAAATTCCGCTACATACAATTTTTATCTTGCTTTTTACAAAAGGACATCGTAGCTCTGCAGTGGCAGATTTACAATGTAGGTGCTCCTTGCATCAACCTTGGACGTGCCGGGTGCGCTGAAGTGGAGCAGCATTCCAGAATCATAACATGGGATAGCATGTGCCCCTTGCCTTCACGAACCAGCCCTCATACCGTATATTTCGCGTCATCAGGTACCAATTTTGGAGCACCCATCAAGCCCCGCGAGAATTTTAATCATTGAATATAACCCATAGAAGAGTGGGGGTCCAGGATGCTGATAGCCAGGATCGGCAAAATTTGTACCTAGCAGTCCTAGGTAGCAAAAAGAGAACAGATTAGACCCAGCGTGTCCGGTCTACGTCTGAGTATACTCAATCCCATCATTGACTGGTTCGCTACATTTTAGCGCAAGGTCTTTGTCGCAGTTCAAGGCCTCATTTGGATAGTCAATTCCAGCCAAATATCGCGACCGCAGCGCTTCTGCTGTCTTGGTGAGGATATCTATACTGATCGTACTTCAATTATAATGATGGTGGCCACAATGGAATTATTATCGCCTATTCTCCTGGATATCACCGCAGGCATTTCCTTCCATCTTCTTGTGCTTCGACATGGGGAATGGGACTTCGCCCTGCCGGTATTAATTGTCAAACTGATTGCTGTTTGGGTACCGCTTTTGGCACTTGGAGCAATAATGCCTCATACTCGACACGATATTTTTTGGGCCAGGCTATCAGCAATAAACTTGCACGCGTTGAGAGTCAGCGCAGGTCTCTGTATGAGCATTCTGGTATACCGATGGCAATTCCATCCTTTGCGGCGATTTCCAGGCCCTCCTAAAGCCCGCCTGTCGAACGCGTACATTATGTGGAAATCTGCCAAGAGCACCAACGCTTTCGAGATGGTCGCAGACTATCACCAACTGTATGGCGATTTTGTTCGAGTGGGTAAGTAGTACGGTCTTTCCCGATCGTCTCCTCTTAGCGGGCGAAAATATGGTCTAATGCAAGTCACCTGGTCAGGTCCAGCTGAGCTTTCGGTCAACCATCCGGATGCTATCGCTGCAATTCACTCGTCCAAGTCTTCATGTATCAAGGGTCCTTGGTATGATATATTGCAGCCGCATCGGTCCGTTTTTGGGACACGCGATCGAGCAGAACATCAACGTCGCCGACGTGTATGGGATCATGCATTTAGACCTACTGGTAAGTTGCGCGATACGAACTTGGGACCACTTTTACCACTGTATTCTCTAACCCTGCCATGTGGGTCCTGTTTAGCTCTTAAAGAATACGAACCCTCTCTGCGAGCTTGCGTGAATCAGCTCGCCGACAAAGTTAGCAATCGTGCAGCCTCGGGTACTCCCGTGAATATGACTCTGTGGTTCGGGTGCCTCATGTTTGATGTAAGAGGCTCCGTCTGGATGGAGAGGTGCTGCTAATCACGGATATATGAGCAGATCATCGGTGAACTTGCGTTTGCAGAATCATTTGGCACCCTTGCCAATGAAAAGCCACATTACATGATGCAATATTTACACGACTCAAACATGTCAACGGGAATAATGATTCGCGCGACGTGGGTCATCATGTTTTTCCGGAGTATACCGATTCTCAATAGAGGACTGCAACAGTTCCTGGATTTCTCTGAGACGGCAATGGAGAAGAGGTTGAAGGTAGCTACCACAGTGTTTCTGAAATGCGGTGGTTGTGAAACTAATCATACGCTCATGTAGAGAAAGGATGACCCGCGAGACATCTTCGCTTGGCTTTGGAACGAATTTTCTACCAAATCACCCCAAACATTGGAGGCAAGGCGGAATCTGATCGCTGATGCCTCGTTATCGGTCTTTGCCGGAAGGTACAGTAAAACTTCACAACTGGACTCGATGGTTTATTATGCGAGGGGATCTAATGATTTGGTATTAACAGCGACACGGTGGCCATCACTATGACTGGGATCTTGTATTATCTGATGGCTTACCCCGACTACCAAAAGAAACTGCAGGACGAGTTTGATGAGGCCGAAGACAGCAACAATGGCTCAAAAATCCAAGATCTAGCAAAGCTACCGCTTCTGAACGGTATAATCAATGAATCACTACGACTTCATTACGCCGGGCCCTCGGGGTTTCCCCGAATCACACCACCTGAGGGGATACAGGTAGGAGACACGTTCATTCCCGGCAATGTTCACGTCAAGGTCCCATTCTATGCCGTCTTCCGGGATGAGCGGAACTTCAAATTCCCCAATGAGTTCATTCCAGAGCGTTGGTCAAGCCGTCGCGACCTGATTCACCATCCAGAGGTTTTTGCTCCTTTTTTGATGGGAGCATACAATTGTGTTGGCAAGAATGCTGCTCTGATGCAGATCAGGTATACAATATACTCTATTTTGAGCCAATTTGAAGCACAGCCATCGAACAAGAACCAGCTACAGGAATACTGGAAACAACGAGCTGACGGTTTCAGTATGGGGATTGGCCCTCTTTGGACCATCTTCAAGGAACGTCCTGGGCGAGGGACGTCGACAATTCAATGATAGAGGACGGAAATTTGTTGCTAGGATATCTACTCCATAATTTTGTCGCCGAAAAGGATCGATATCCGCTTGTTCACGCTCATGATATTTTGCCACCGTTCCTGGCATATCAAGCTATATTTGTATGTTTTTGGACATTTACGTAACCTCCAGGGCTGCCCCCTAAATTTTCAAAGATATTGTGCGGTTATTGCTAAGCCACTTAATGAATATCATCCATATGATTCATTCGCCTCATACAGTAGCATATTGTATCAAATGCTGCCTCGGAAAGGCCAATAGGTACCCGGCTCACGCATTACAACAACCCGTGGAGCCGCAGAAATTGCCTCGATAGCATGTATCGCTCAGAAATACTCATGTTGGCTTGTCTTGTCAGAGCCTCTATCTGGAGTTGCACAGTCCCGGGTTAAATACCATATATCAGAAATAGTGGAATGAATGGCTTGCGTGTAAAGATTATCTTAACTGTTCCTTGGCATTTTCACGTATGCTTGCACTATTTTATTTGCTTTACACAATTTTCAATTTCGACAAAAGCCGTCATAAAATCCCAAAACTCAGCGATATATTAATTCAGGATGACTAATGATTCTTTCAGGATCTTACTAATTGAGTTAGCCTCTGGATCTGTCACAAATTGGTGCCAGTGGCCCATATTTACTACACCGACACTTGCCTATTATTAGCTCTAGGACTTTTTCAGATCGAGCTCAGGTATTACTTGTTAAATACATGAGGCGACGTCGTATTCCCGGGTCATGAGAGCGGTATTGGGAAGTCGGGACACAGCCCCACAATTCCTAATGGCCATGGGTCTCATGCAGGTAGCAGCACCTAGCATGCAAGGGAAAAACTGTCATGGTGCACAGCAGTGTGCATGCGTAAGTCCAGCTCATATTTTCTTCGTTTGCTCGTATGATTTAGAATTGAGCTATCAGATAGCGCTTGCAGTAGCGCTTACAGAAGAATCGTGGTGCTATGCAGTAATCGAGGGCATGCTTTGCGCGTCAGATGGCATTTAACATGCAAAATCGGTCAGAACACGTAGCCAATTCAATCCGTATGTATGCATACTCGTTTGTGGTGTGTGTGAAGAAGATTATCCAGTTTCCGGCACAAGATATATATAAAAGTGCCGATGCATTCAATCTGGACCCAAATGTACAAGTCAGAATTAATTTGATATCGAACATCACCCCTAAGCTTATCCTGAGCTGGTAAACATGACTATTCAAGCGAAGAAAATTGTGACAGTATTCGGAGGAACTGGTAAGAAGCTTTTGATGCTTGAGATAAGCTCCCAGTGATGAGCTGACCGATACAGGAAACCAGGGCAGTAGTGTTGCACGTTCCCTGCTGGCACACAAAGATAAGATCTTTCACGTCCGTGTAATCACGAGAGACCCTCAATCCGACAAAGCGAAAGCTATTGCGTCGCTTGGGGCGGAGTTAGTCCAGGCAGATGGACTCAACATCGGTGAAATGACCAATGCCTTTGCTGGTAGTTGGGGGGGCATTTATCAACACCAATTCTGATGATGAGGTAGGGTTCCGATCGAAATTCCCATTCTTGGTGACAAGGAGGCTTACTCAAGTTGTGTGTGCACAGGCTTTGAAGTCATTGGATGGTCCTAGTGACTATGACCTTGGCGTGTCGGTAATCGATTCTGCGGAGAAAGCAGGCGTTCAGCATGTTGTCTATAGCTCTGGACCATCCATCACGAACGCTACGAAAGGCAGAATGCATATCGAAGGCTTCGAGAGTAGGTAAATTCTATCACCGCCATTGTTACAGTTGCTTATTAACAATTGAAGCCAAATACCACGTTGAGCAATATGGGCGTAAGAAACAGTTTACGAGCTTCACTCCCATTCTATGTGCCTCTTTTATGGAGTGCTTCTTTGACGATTCATTCGTGGATGCATTCGGTGGGTTTCCTTGGAATCCCGACCCAGAAACAGGAGAAGTGGACTTCCGCACCCCGGACTACGGAGGGAAAGGCGATATGCCCTGGGTCAGTTGCGAGGACGATCTCGGCGACATTGTGATTGGTATCTTTTTGAACCCGTGCAAATACGATCAGGTATTGGTTCAGGCAACGAGCCAACAGATTACAATGTCTGATGTAGCATCTTCATATACACAAGGTACGCCGCTCCCCCTCCTCTCTTTTTCCAATTCCGTCCTCTGGCAGTTGGGTCTTTCATGTGACTAAAGGTTGTTACTTGTAGCCACTGGCATTCCTGCCCGGTACGAGGAATTGCCATCCTGGTCCAGTATTAAGCTCAATGGGACAAGGTGCCGAGTCGAAACTCGCCAAATGTTCTGGTACATGAAGCATTGTGGTGGCCGGTGGTTTGCAGAACACGAAAGTGATATGTCTACTGCGGTCGCATTGAAAGAATCAGCAATGTCGTCTCGGGGCCAGAAGGGAGGTCTTGTTACATTTAAGACCTGGTTTAAAAAGGCACAAGTCCTGAAAGCCCAAAATTTGTGATTCTTCCGAGATCTAAGCGGCAATCCGTACCCTCGTCTCAATATCTAGTATCTGGCATATAGAAATTGAGTTATCAAAATATCACTGCTTTACTTCATCCAAGGTCAATAAAGTTATGGCGGCTGTCACATTTTCTTGCTTTGGACGTTTCAATTGGGACGGACACTACGGAGCGCTCAGCTCAATGAGTCTGCATCATAACTTAAGACTTCAAGCAATGGAAGCAGTAGCTTTCAGGAACAGCCAAAAGTAGCAACTCTCCCTCGATTTCTCTCTTTATGTATATTCGGCCATTCATCAGGATGTAGATGAGGCCTGTCTTTTGAATGAATAAGAGACCGTATTTGGCAAGCGAGTGATCTAGCTAGAACAGAACCTTAAATTCAAGATTAAATAAAAATCTTAACAATCAACCCTTTCTATGATCCAATATTAAGACAAGTATCTTATTATAGTATATATAGTATCTATATAAGTTATGGTACAGCCGAATCATGATTGACGATATTATTATAAAACACGACGTATTTCTGCGCGAATATATAACTCGATAATAGCGTCTCAAAACAACCTAAGGCTCCTAAAGTATTGTTAAACCCTTACTTATACTATATGAACAGAGCCAAATTTAATATTAGGCCTTAAACGTAGGAGTTAAAAATTACAATTCATCGCATTCGAGGTGACGTGTTAGGTAGAACCACTCGCTTGCCGGTATGTTATGTCATTGTTATTCATCTAATTTTGGCATCATCTTAATCCGCTTAAATTGTGAGTCATTATTTTCGTATTGCAGGTCTTATCAAGGAAAAGGATCCCCGCCTCGTTCCGTCCCATCAACGGTAAGATACCTAAACAACACTATACAATTAATGTTCAAAAAGATCAAGCGAGGTCTACCTGCAATTCCGACTGCACCTAACCCTTGCTCAGCCTGCAAGGAGAAGCAGCCATATATGCCGAGTGACATTCCTTTCATTTCCATCAGGCCCACATTTTGCGACACCGAAATGGAACGGTATGCCAGTGAGTGGAACTATCCTCGTTCGAATGAAGGGGTATTAAGAGAAGCGGTCAGCGAGTAGTGGTAGAGGCATCAATGACACATTACATGCAATAATATAAAGATATCAACGAATTCACAGCGTTCCACCACCGATTTGAAGCATAGAACCATATTGTAACGATATTTCTTCAGATGCCGAATTCAGTATGGACAGCGCAGGTCTTCTAAATATCCTCTATCATCACTTGGGAAGATTCCCGGAGATTAAGGCATTCGGAGGCCTTCTTGCTGTCTGGCTGCTTGTTCGCTGGGTTCGCTACTATCGCTCATGGGTATGGACTTGAAGCCGCTCGGTCGATACCAAAACCATGAACTAACGACGGTCTAATAGATTGATCTACCCACCGTTGGCCCTAAGGGAATTCTGGCGTCTAGATGGTCCGGGCTAAAGTGGCCAGCGAACAGTGACCAATTGCTTCAAGAAGGATACGTCAAGGTCGGTTGTTTGAACGAAAAATATATGCCATTTCAATGGACAATACTGACAATGAATCCAAGCACGGCGATTATGCGTTCCAAATACGGACACGGAACAGGTGGGAGGTCTGTATATGCAACGATAAAATGGTTCGCGAATATCAGGTCCTCGGCCCTGAGTACGCATCCCTGGACGCCGTCAGTGAAGATGTGAGTCCTTCCTGTTTCCGGTGATTATGGTCCAAAATGGGCATCCTGACAAACCACGTCCACAGCTATTCCAGACCATGTACACGTGCCCGGGTGTTGCAGACTCGCTCAACCACGTCCCGGTGGCAGCTCTCTCAAAGGCCGTGGTTTGGTCAAGAAACCGAACAACAGGAAAGAACTCCTTATACTTTCAGGAGCTCGTCAAGGAGCAAGAGTTTGGCATGATCGCGGAACTCAACATCCCTCCGGGCGGTAAATGTCGTCCCTAGCCCGCGAATATATGTTATGGTCAGCTAACATCGACTCAGTGTGGTGTGATTTCGACTGCCTTCCGGTTGCACTGGCGTTGATGCTGCGCATGATCGGACGAGTGTTGGTGGGACACCCGCTCTGCCGTGACCCTGATGCCATCGCGTTGTTCATGAGGTATGGCTCGGCCGTCCCAGTCAGTGGAAATCAGATTTCGTGGCTGCCACGCATATTGAGACCGTATGTACCCTCGTCTCGCCTGTCATTTGAGTTGCATTGATTCAGCTAACTCTTCGCATAGCTTGTTGGGTCCGCATTTTGCCGCTTCTCGCATGCAGGCTGAACTGAGCGGTCTCATCGTCGAAGACATGAAGCACGGTGCCGATGCCAAAGAAGACCAGATGGTTCGTGATTGAAAGTTACCCTTCTTCGCCTGCGATAATGAAGCTGAGATTGTTTGCAGACACTTGCCCAGTGGGTGTGGGAGTGGACAAAGCGAGAAACACCCGGCGAGTACACCCCATTCGATGTGGCTGGGTTGCTGGTATCCTCCATCTTTGGCGCCGTTCACACCGCCGGCTCGGTATGAACATGTCCCGATATGTATTGAGTTCAACGATACTGATAGCGATTCAGGTACTTACAAAGTGCTTCTACGAGCTCACTCAACGGCCCGAGTTGATCGAAGATCTTCGCAACGAAGTTGAGCAAGCCATCCGCGACCATGGAGGGGTCTGCAGGGAATCTATCGAAGCCATGACGAAACTGGACAGTTTCATTAAAGAAACCATGCGCCTGCAGCCCGTGGGTCCAGGTAAGCTTCACTGCGACTTGTTCTCTTGTCGAAAATTCCTGAATCATCTGCCTCATTGTGTTCCATGGGTTAAATTCTGACAACCTCCCGTAGCCACAGTGCATCGCATCATTAAGAAAGACTACACCTTTACTAACGGCCTAAAGCTACCCAAGGGAACATTGGTTTTTGCCCCAAATACGCAGCTCCATATGGATGAACGGTACTACGATAACCCGGAAGAATTTGATGCGTTCCGATTCCACAAGCTCGGGAAGCAGTCGGACAAACCAAACAACTACAAAATAGCTGGCTCGACCCCTAGAACACGCCAGTTTGGTGACGGGAAGCACGCCTGGTGAGTTTACCAGTCTGTGTCCTCATCGTTGCCCAGTGCATTACTGACGCTTCCTAGCCCGGGCAAGCAACTCGCTGCGGATCTGCTGCGTCTCATCTTGGCCCACTTCTTGTTTAAATTCGACATCAGGAAGTGTGATGAAGACACTAGCTACCCTTCTTTAGAACAACGACGCATGTCTATCAAGCAGCGTACACCTTCACCCTCAGCCGTTGTATAAATTATTTCAACGTCGACCGATCAGCGCGACACTTGTACCATCCTAATTACTGAATTCTGTAAACTGGTCTAGGTCACTCTGCTCAACCCAGCTAGCAGCATTGCAAAGGCATCTAGCTTTGAGGAATTTCATTTTCGGTTGTATGGGGCATTGATCTAGAGATACATTTAGCACTGAGCTGTCGGATATACTGTAAATGCGATAATATACGTCTCAGTATCTGAGCAATAGTGATCTACATGGACTTTCTCTTATAGTCGGATGTTTAAAACATAATATCTATTAACTTTCGAGAGATTCAGTATATTCCACGACATGGAGACCGGGCGATATCTTTGAAAAGTTCAAATACTCTAGTTTCGGTACCATATTGATGCATAACAGTGCAAGCTTTCGATTCATTTCATAATAATACTGCCGAGAACTGCCGATTCTAATTTTATTGCATTATCATAGCTTGATATCTAATTGAACACGTATAATTTGTCAAAAACCTAGAAATGAGCTAAGAGTGTGGTAGTTAAGATGTTATGGTAAAATATCTCGCTTTTAACGGTGGTGATTGGACTGCGTAGCTCCCATGTGAGCTACACCGTGTGATTTTAAAAAGATTTCTCCTCCAAATGATTTCATATCTACATCGTATTTGCTCATGGGGCTCACGATGAGTATTGCATACACTGATGTACGTGAACTTGTAGGTTCAGAGTCCTTGCTGTCCCATAGCGAGGTAGTCACCTGGCTGAAAATACAAGGCGCATGCCGGGCTAGATCCGTATTGATTGTTCTTCTTTGGGTCCTAGTTCACACCGACTATAGATATTGGATCAAATTCGACATGTCATATTATGCATGTTTCTGAGCGATAAAATGTGCCTCCATGCGGTGAAACTAGACTCTGCATGAGTAGTTTGGAGAAAATATCAACTCCAGGTCCCTTGCGGGACCATCGCGTACCTAAGCGGTAATTCCAGAGCTTCCTATCAAAATTCTTTTCCAGGCCCAGAAAAACTTGAGTTTTCTCCTTACTGGTAGAAAATGGGTGATCAGCTCAAGACACGATGTACGTATGCTTACGCACCGGTCAGGCTTTCACGAGGCTCCGTTTCTCCGACTGAATAACGATTGGTAACACATCCTGGTCCTGAAAAACCAGTCGTCAGACGAATCATCCCTTCTCATCCACTTCCTCCACAGAACCATGACAGTTTCTACAGAGCGCAAGACTATCTCTGTGGTTGGAGCTACCGGTGAGCCAGCCATATTCCATATATTGATGCCTCTTTGAGGGCGTAGTGAAATATTCCTGGGGCTGTTCCTGACATGATCTCACGATGGCATAGGTCAACAGGGAGGCTCGGTTGCCCGTTCCCTTCTCAAAAACTCCGAGTTCCATGTGCGATGCCTCACCCGAGATAAGTCATCTAGCAAGGCAAGCGAGCTTAGGGTACTGGGTGCAGACGTGGTGCAAACTGATGGCCTTGACGAAAATTCCATTCTCAACGCCATCGCTGGTAGCTGGGGCATCTTCATTAACAATACCTATTCAAACTCGGTACTTTACTTCCACTCCTATGGTCTTTTCTTATCGTAGATCCGGGTAGGAGCAGCCCCGACTGACTACCACCAGGACGCTGTGAGAAATGGTCGGTATGATCTGGACTTTGGGAACCTCATTCTAAGGAGCGCCGCTGCCGCTGCTATCCCACACGTTGTTTTCAGCTCTCAGCCATCCGCAGAGGCTCTCACTAATGGCCAAATCCGCACCCCAATTTTGGACAGTATGCACCTTCCCCAAGGCTCCCGATGAATGAACGGAGAGTGTTGGTTTCTTAGAAATGCTGACCCTTCCGCGACAGTCAAGGCATGGGGCGAGGCCTGGGGCCGAGAAAATCCAGCTTTCATCACCTTTACCCCGATCATGTCCTCGTGGTATATGGAGGACTTTCTCATGCCATCCTTCTACCAGGGATTTGGCGGGTTCCCGTTTAACAAAGACTCCGAGGGACAACTTACGTTACGGAGTCCGCTGATCGGCGGTGGTGAGAACGTACCCTGGATCTGTATTGAGGAAGATTTCGGTGACTTGGTCCATGGTATCTTCTTGAACCCGCTTCGTTGGAACCGGCGCACCGTCCAAGCTGTCGGTGATATCCAGTCCTTTGCGGATGTGGTGGACACCTTTGTCCGAGGTATTCCAAACCCGCATACCCTATTCCTGTCGTTGGTGGGTTGTTAACGTTTTCTCTCTAGTCAGAAACCAGCCGGCACGGTTCATTGGATATAATGACCCGTCAACATTCCCAGCCTTTGACAAGCCAGAGTTGAAGGAGTCCAAAGATGTGTTCGAGTTTTATCAAATGCGGGCCGGTGAAATATTTGGGTGTGGCATCACCGAATCTCAGACTGCGGCTGAACTGAAGAAAACGGCCCAGAAGGCTAAACAAGGGGCTGGAGGCCGAGAATCTCTTATGACATGTGCGGAATGGTTTGCAGACGTCTTTCCACAGCACACGTAGCAGTTTAGCAGCCCCCAGGCAGACTGAATTACTACTCTATGCTCGGCCAACGCAATTTCATGGGGTAAAGCCACGGAAACATACTCCATACTCTGTTGCAAAATTATCTAAAACACGGCCATTTGAAAGAAGTCGGGTTGCATACTGTGAAGCGCTGGTACACTACGGCCCGATCCGCAGAAGTCGGGTTGCATACTGTGAAGCGCTGGTACACTACGGCCCGATCCGCAGAAGCTGGTCCCACTGTAATAGTCTGCTCTAAGACAAACAATTTTTTGCAAATTTACATTTACTCTACTTTTGGCCTCCAAAAATCCAATACACCAATGATCCTTGCTGTGCTGGTTTTGTAGCAACTTTTCGGCTTTGTGATGGAAGGGACCCATAGTGCGGACTACTCCATTTTATCGGCGCAATCACAGACTGGGGAATGGAACCAGTATGCTGCATGAACAGATTGCCCCTTGCACATACTGTCACGCCGTGCGGTGGTACTCTCTGGGAACCCGCCGCGACTTCCCCCTTGCAGGTCCACCTAATCGTCGCGAATCCTATCATGGGAGAGATCGGTGGGAGTGCGAGGCTGGTGACGCTATCTCGACAGTTCATAGTTTTCGAATTCCACTCCCCTCGTGCGCCATTCATAGTAGTCTACAGCTACCCTTTCTCTCTATCACTCCTGCTCTTCTGCTGTTTCTTCATCGTCAACTCTGGTCTCCCCCCCCGTTCTACTTCCACTTTCCACCCAACGCCGCTTAGCTTCCAAGACCCGACTGCGGGTCAACTTCAGCCTCTCGCCGTGAATCATTTCATGATGGCGTTCCGGCTCGCTGGGGTTTTTCTGATCCTTGCCCTCGGCTTAGGACATTACTTCTCTAACGACCAGGAGTCCCGATGCCGGTGTGGTCCGAATGATGATTGCTGGCCCTCGCCGGCGGCGTGGAGTGACTTCAATGATACCATCGATGGCTATCTGGTGCAATTACGCCCAGTTGGAGCTGTGTGCCACGAAAAGGATTATTCCAAAAGCTCCTGTGATGAGCTCGTTCAACACTATCGCAACACCACATGGCGCGTTAACAATCCCGGTAAACTGGCCATGCCCTGGAGTCTCAAAAGTTACTCTCGCTGATACTAATTGTTTACTTCATGGCAGCCGCGCTGCAGGTAGACACCTGGGAACAATCACGACCACAGAAGCAGAGTTGCCACGCCCAAGACCTACCGGAACGCGGTCAATGCCACCAGGGTCGCGTGGCACACTACTCGGCCCATGTCCGGTCCGTGTCGGCGGTGCAGCAGGTGATCCAATTTGCCGCCTCCCATCGCCTGCGACTGGCCATTCGCAACACCGGTCACGATCTGGCAGGACGTTCATCAGCCCCCAACTCACTGCAGCTTCATACCGCTGGTCTTAAGGGTATTGATCATGTGGAATCGTTCACTCCTCAGGCTCCAGTCGGTCAATCAGTGCCTTCAGACGGCCCCGCAGTGACAGTAGGGGCGGGGGTGCTCACAGGGGAGCTCTACTCGGCGGCCGCCGACGCGGGATATACCGTGGTAGGAGGAAGCTGCAGTACGGTTGGAATTGCGGGTGGTTGGATGCAAGGTGGTGGCTATGGAATTCTGACCCCGTCGCGAGGCCTGGGGGTCGACAATGTGTTGGAAATTGGGGTTGTAACGGCGCAGGTAAGTGGCCTGCCGGTCTTAGAAGTCCCGGTATATGACCGATCTCACTGCTCATTTTAGGGTGTCTATGTCACTGCGAACCAGTACCAGAATCAGGATCTCTTTTGGGCCGTTCGTGGAGGCGGCGGCGGCACGTTTGGGGTCATCGTCCACGTCACATTCCGCACCTACCCCGATGTTCCCGCCACCGTATCGAAATTGAATGTGATCAGTCCCCATGGGCAGAACCCTGCCTTCTGGGACGCTGTCACCGATTTACTCCACACAATCCCTGTCCTGGTGGATCGCGGCGACGCTGTCCAAGCCTTTGCGATCCCGGTTATGCATGGCAACGCGGCATTTCTCACCATTGAGTCCTATCTCATCAACAAAACCCACGTGGACGGCCAAGATGTTCTCCATGAACTACGAAAAGGCATCGAAGCGCGCGGGTTATCAGTGGAGTCGTCCGAGGAGTCCTTTGATCGATTGTCCGCGTATCTTGCGATTCCCAAAGGTTTGGACCAGGCCGGCATGGGGATGATGACCGCGTCACGACTAGTTTCACGAGATCTAATGACGTCGGCCCAGGGACCTTCGCGGATTAGCCAAACGCTCGCCCAGCTCAGTTACAAGCCTGGAAATGTGGTAAGTCTGGAAGGAATGGTCGGTGGGCCCGCCGTGCGACGCAAGGACACAGCGGATCGCGCTATCCATCCATCCTGGCGATATGCTGTAATGTCCCTAACTCTGGGCCACAGCCTGCCCTCAGCTCCTGATTGGATCGGATACGACCATGTCCAGCGCGAACTGGCTATGGTGCAGCTGCCGGCGCTTCAGGCCCTTGAACAGGGGACGATGGGAGGATACCTGGGCATACCGTTCCCGTACGAAAGCCACCCTTCCCAGGTGTTCTGGGGATCCCATTACCATCGCCTTGTGGCTCTCAAAGGGCGTTGGGACCCTGATGATTTATTCCTAACTCGAGTTGGGGTGGGTTCGGAGCGGTGGGATGAGGATGGCATGTGTCGAGTTGATCGGGGGTGGGCTTCTCTGTGGCCGTATTATAGCTTTGTAGATCGTGTCAAATCATGGACAACGCAGATAGTATCTAGTGGTTACCTGGACTGGATTATTGTATGAAGGTAGCGGGCTGCTCTTGTCTCTGTGTAATAGGTTGACCTTCAATTCAGCAATCTTACGCGATGCTTGCAATTCACCAACTTAGTCTTTCCAAAAGTGGTTTTGCCAATCAATCTGATCAGTGTAGAATTTAGATCTTCAAGTTCAAAAAATCCCTTCCCTCTGACTTTCAGGAATATCGTGTTCAAATTTTCAATGGAACCCCTGATTTGCTATATGGACTAGTTTGGTTGATTACCGAGGCAATTATTGACCATGAACCTTGCTCTATACACAGCCCGATCAAACCGCCAGGCTTGTGGAACAGAGAAATTAACAAGCACCCTGAAGAATTATTAGCGCACTAGATAAACGGAGGAAGTCAAAGAGATCATTAAATTCAGAGGTAAATCTTCTGGCCTGACAACGAGCTATCTGGCTACAGAGAACTGTGGTAATAAACACTCAGATACACGCCTGTCTTCTCCGAATATGCTAATGAAACATATTGTATCAAGTTCGACGTCTCTCCAGATCCGAAATTCGGACTATCACGTTATGAAGTAGTTAGCATGGATGGACACGCAGGAGCAATCAGGAGGGCAAACAAACAAGTATCCTTTGACCGAATCGATGAATGTTGCAGCCAAGTCATGCCATCCGACATATTCGTAAAAGTTGGCAATAGCCTGAGCATTTTTAATGTCATTGAGACCATGCAGAATGAAATAGTACTTCGGATTGGGGAAAATGCTGGATCCAGCAGCGAGCTCGTAACTCCAGATGCCCACGTCCATTTTCTCCTGAGACCGGATAGTAAGTAAAGATAACTGAGTATGACTGGAAAGGAGAGCCTGTAACCACTCACCTGATCCAAAGTGACCAGCTGCCAGAATTTTTGGGCGAACTGAAGCCCGCGCTGTATAGTGGCATGGGACTTAAAGCGACCACCCAGAGTCCATATGTCTTGCAGCTTAGACCATGTCACGTCCTGGACTGTATTGTACACTTTAAGCCGAGATTTGGCAACAGCAGTGCAATCAATTCCAATAAAAGAATACTGGTTGTACAATCCTGCACTCTCTAGATATTCGTGGACTGTATCCAAGGCGGGATAGCAGACCCCACCGAGGAGAGTGCACCGCGTGGTTCACCAAGACTCTGAACGACTTGCCCGTCAGGTGCGACTTCAGGGCTGGATACAAGTAGCATTTGACAGAGACCTCTCCGCCCTTCAGATCGAGCCCGAAGGACACTTGATTCTTCATCCTGAGAAGATATAAGTGATCGCGACCAACCTCGGCGGATTCTTCGCTAGTAGCGGTGAGTGATTCTATCATATGATTGAGGTACCTAGTGTTGAATCCCTTGAGATTGAGTTCGGACATGGTGGCAATTGCCTCGGTGATAGTGGCCTTGTTGATTGGGTCTGCCGAGGAACCTGACTTGTGGCTAATAGGCTCCCACCCGATCCGAGCTGTGGGAGGACCATGCTCCTGGAAATTAATGCTGAATTCCACTGGGACTCCGGAATACGTGATAAAGGAATCCCAGGTATGGGGGTGTGGGCCGAGGCGAGGAATCAGAACAGTCCTATACAGCATCATATAAAGATACTGGTGTTCAACACTGTACTGGGCGGATTGGAGAACTTTAGACAATAGTGCCGCCGTCTTGTCCCACCAGGCATGCTCGGCATGATCCTGAAAGGCGAAGCACTTGAATGGCGGACTCGCGTTCTGGGAATCGCCATTGCCTTTGATTTCCCCTGAGGTGGGAGACTTGACTGTGACTGTCATGGTGCCTTTGGCAATTAGATTAGGTTGTCAAAAATGATTGTGGTAACGAGTAAAGTGATCTTGTGATCTTTCATTATCGACAAAAAAAAAGTGTTAAGTCTAAATACACCGCGCGGGCTGGGGTGAGAGAATGAAAGATGATGGTCTAACCCATCATGAGAGTTGGCATCGTGCGCAAGGAGAGACGCAGAAAAGATGCAGCTTTAGATACCCATGTACGTCCTTGATGGTTGTACGTAGGAAAGTAATGCGTGCGCTTTGATAGCCTTGCTCGATACTTGGCAAGACAACACATCGGGCCGACCCACTCAAAGATGCGTCACCCTTGCAGACGGGCCAGTCTTCCTATTCTTCATGCGTCCAAGTGTAATATGCAAGGCCTAGATGAATCTTATGCGTCGTTCAGATACCTGATCGAACCTCACCGACTTTTTGTAACCATGACGGTCGAATTGTAGATTTGCACGTGCCTTTTGCACAAGAACTACTCACGATACGTCATGCTTGAAAAGTTCCAGAAATAATTAAATTTCATCTACCTTGGGGAAGATATACATCCTGGCGTTAAAGTACATGAGGTGAAAGGTGTGCTAAGACTTTCAATTCATACATAAATCAAGTCATATTTTGTGAAATTTTCTGCCTTAAGCTGGTCGGAGTGTGAAAACCACGATTGATAGTTACCTAATTTTGTGACTATAGATATACTAATCATCTATAAGTAACGTAATCCACGGCCGAGCTGCGCACCCGGTCGAGCTGCGCACCCGGTCGAGCTGCGCACCCCAAAACACAAAGTAAATGCAATAAATTACCACTTCATATCTCAACAACCATGGCTTGATTTTACTTGAATATTATAATATAGGCTTTTTCTAGCATATGAAATAACATAACTTAGTTTTACGCAATTTAGATGTTTATTTCGATGCTTTACCATAAAATACAGCGTAATTTTGACAGGAGGGACATAAATATACATATCTCTATCAGTACTTCCAATACTTTCTTTATACTTCGCCAGTAGGCTAGTAATACTATCTAGACTATATCTTTTTGATATATTATCATAAATAGATATGGTTGTTGAGATATGAAGTGGTAATTTATTGCATTTACTTTGTGTTTTGGGGTGCGCAGCTCGACTGGGTGCGCAGCTCGACCGGGTGCGCAGCTCGGCCGTGGATTACGTTATATGTTTCTTTTCTGACTAAGGAACTCGAGTAAACCAGGCACAGTGGTCTACGAGATAATAGTTCCTGATGATCGAGGTTTCTCATTTTGCTCTGGATAGGCATAAGTTTGATATGAACTGCCAAATCGCTGCGTGAAAGCCCGCTTGACTGTGTTAATTGTTCTCCTCTAGTTCTAACCATGGATATTCATCAGAAGAATGGTAGTATACACTCAGGTAAACCCCCGTCTTTTCCGTATACGCAAACGAAATCCATGATGTCAGACGAGCGGTTTTACTCAGATCTCTTTCGGGGCTGTCACACTTAGCAATCTGATCAATGTTGGGGGGGAGAGGGGGGAAAGTAGGAAAGTCATACAAATAGTGCTGCACCGTCGCCTCGTAGTTATCACCATACTTAGACAGCCCGATACGGGACAAGAACTGGGCCAGGCCCCTAATGACGTTTTGATCACTCTCGCCATGGATTGGGAAGTAGAACTTCGTGAGGGGGATGGCCTCGCCCTTTTTCATCTCGTAATTCCATACCATTGGGGACGCGGTGAAATCATTGCCATCGTCGAAGCCACCATTGAATTCACGATGCCCTTCGGACAGCTTGGTTAGTTCCCACAGCTCCTTAAGGTAATTCAGACCCTCTTGGATGGCAGGCGACTTGGCCCGCCCACCAAGGGTCCATATCTCCTCTACCTTGGACCAGACAACGCTATTGTGGGAGCTATAGAGCTTGAGGCGTGATTGGGCAGGGTCAACACAGTCAAAGGACCAGAAAGCAAACTGGCTGTAGCCATTCGTCTCTTCCAGATAAGAGTGCACCACATCAAACGAGGGGATGGGGCCCATTTGCGCCACGAGAGGCTGAATGGATTGGGCAATGAAATCCCCAAACCCTTTATCGCTGAGACCGCATTTGATAGCGGGGAATGTGTAGCCCTTGACTGAGATAGCTTTTTCCTTCAGATCAAACCCAAAAGCAGCCTGGGAGGTTAGGTCGCTCCCTTCGATCTTCTTCTCCTTGAGCAGCCCTTTCTCGTGGTCGTTGACGGTATGAGCGTCCAGGAAATATTGGAACAGTGATGGGTCGAATCCCGATATACTCAGCTTTTCAAGTTGATTTAAAAGATCAACACACGGCGTTTGGTTGTAGGGGTCAAGTTCTGTTCCCGATGCTGCAGCGACCGGTTCGAATCCGACGCGAACCACCGGGTCGACGTCTCCCCGTTGCTGGTAGTTGACGCTGAACTCTAGCGGCAGCCCACTCCGGGTAATTGCGCTGCGGAATTGATGCGGGTGGGGGCCCAGAAGTGGAATCAGGACCTGTTTGTAAAACGTGAGAGCCTCTAAGCGACGGGAAGGGTTATAGCCCGCTGAAGCTAGGACTTTGTCGAACAGTCGGCCGGTCTTCTCCCACCAGACCCTCTGGTGAGTATCAGTGAAAAGATAGTATCGGCTCAGTACATCGAAAGTTGTGGAGATGGGAGAAGTGGAAGCTCCTTTAGCCAGCATGCCTTGGGACACATGGCTCTTGGTCTCTTCAATCGTCATGGTAATTCGAACGTGTCAAGACACATAGAAGAATCAATATAGTACCGAAGTTGCTTTTGCCTGGGTTCGAAGCGGTTTCTAGCCCAAATATAGTATTCGAGCAGGTCAAGGCCATGACAAATTTTCTGTATGTGTCCCGGGATGCATCGCACCTATGAAGCGAGCAGGATCACATCACGAAAATGACCACTTGACCGCCATTCTCTTCCCAAGTACGATTCATTATCTGCATTAGTTTGCCGTGGTCACTGTTCCGTGTCGCTAAGGACTGTACAGCGATTTGCAAGTTGCAGGGTCATCTTAGGCAAGGGGCAATGCAAAGACGCATTGCCCACACTATGGGAATATATGCGGCCGATCACACTGTGCATTTTACCCACAGCGCTGGGTACTCACTATCCTTTAATTCAGGCAAAATTACGGGTATGCCCAGCGGATAGCTAGGCCTTGCAACTGCCACGCTCTATTAATGTTTGGAGAACGAGTGGATAAACCCAACATCCTTTTGGACAAAGAGGATATTATTGATGTACGCGATGAGTGAGATTCGCCATTCATTTGCTTTCTCAAGCCAACAGCAGCCCGCCGTTGGTCTCCAACACCGTCCCGGTGACAAACGGGTCCTTCATAAGATACAGATAGGCCTGTGCTACACTCTCTGGCATCCCGGCACTGCCTACTAAAGACTTTTCTTTCGCCATTTGAATAGCCATATCGTAGTGCTCGTCTAACATTTCCCTCACAACCTCTGTAATGACCGCTCCGGGAGACACGACGTTCACACGGAGAGGCTTCAGATCGACGGCCAACCCCTTCATCATCGTTTCCACCGCTCCAAGGTATCCGGTAATGGCGGACCAGCCAGGGTCAGGCTTGTGACCGTGGGCGCCACTCGTGAGGGTAATGGAATTTTCAGAAGATTGGTCCATGGACTTAGGCAGATGTTTGGCGAAGATCAGAGGTGCCATATAACGAATGCAGCTTGTTCGCTCGAGACTGTGGACGGTGATTTCGGCCAGTGATGGCGGCGGTGGCATCATATCTGCGGCCGTGACAACGAGATGGTTTATTTTCGCCCCATTGGCCGCAAATTGCAACACGGATTGCACATTCGTCTCCAGGTTCTCGATGTCGGCAAGATCAATAGTAATCCCACTCAGTCGCGATCCAGAGCTTTGCGACGGATATGATGATTTGAGTCTGGTGACGGCATCCTCCAGCTTAACTGAGTTGGATCCAGCCACAATCACGATGGCGTTGTGCTCCAATGCCGCCTCTGCAACGGCGTAACCAATGCCCGAAGTCCCTCCCACAATGAGGACGACTTTGTCCTTTAAGCGGCCCACGTATTTTGCTGCTTGGCCGGTCATCCTCTCCGTTGGTGGGTAGGTACGATATTATTTGGGCTTCTGGTTTCACAACCGAGTTTTTGTAGTTCTAAGACGAGGCGCCAATATGCGAATGTACGAGGAGTAGTACTGTTCAGCATGCACGGTCGGCCTAGCTTGCATATTTTCGTCTATCACAGACACGGACGCGCACTTCACTCTGCCTCAAAAAGAGTGGATTGTCTGGATTGCTGGAGCATCGTCGCTGTAAGGGACTCTGGACGAGTGTATCCACTAGAAAATTGGCCCACGGAAGTCTAGACCACAGTAAAATGTCATGCATCATCTTGATCATATGTCTTATCTGCACCATCCGTGTTTGAGTACCTTGTCCTTTGAACGTGCATGAAGATGTAGCGCTAGGCTGGGGCAACCCTGACATAACCAATGGGCAAGTGCATCTATACGGAAGTTGATCTCTACATTACGCCTCTTAAAGCCATTTTGAGACTAAACTCGGCCCTTAGCGTATGGTGACCAGCTGATATGTAATTGCCAGTTCCATGTGATAGTTATAGAATGTGCTTTTTCATTGTACGAGGCTAAATAATCGGTGTAACGTCGTCCACAAACCATCCGCCATCTCTTTAATTTTCGCGTCTCTTCAGAATTACGCACTATGCCACCAATATGTTCTAAAATATAACAGGTTTTTATCCATCAAGAGGGTAGAATTGAACTAGCAATCCAACCTAAAACAGAAAGATGTTCCTTTTATTGCGGCTGCCGCGCGCGTCTATTGCATACCGTAATTAAGCTAATGCGATCGTATTAAAGGTCATAATTCAAAAGCTATCACACTCGCCAATAGTCATAGACTGATTCAAGTAGAACAGGATACACTTACCGAAGGTATTTTCTCTATAGACGTCCATGGTGCAGCCCCTAGGAATAAGATGGTACGCAATATGGCTAATATTGTTCTTGCGGCGACCGAGGCCGAAACGCTTGGCGTGAATTGGGTTGGAAACTATATCAAGCGTACTCTAGCTATCCAAAGACGTTTTTTGCGTCTATATAACTGTCAACGTACAGAATAAGAAGATTTACATATCTAAAATGATTAGATTTGTCAAAGGCGGATGCTTCGATACTGAGTTATATGTAAGAGTGATAACCTAGTGTTATGGGAGAAGTAGACTCTCTAGGCTACAAACGAGGTTTAACTATCTAGCCTGGCTGTACAGTGGAACTCAAAAACAATATTCGTTGCGGACACGCACGTGTCGTAGCAAAGCGATATCTTTAGAAGCCAGCCGCGAGGAGCGGTTTAAAACCTCTTAAATAATAGCTGTGGAGCAATCAGACCCCATGGCATTCCCTTGCCTGATTGAATGCCATTCTACCTTGCAAGCATACTGTAATAATGCTCATTCAAAAGGCTATCCTATCAGTCCAATATCGAGCTTGCTACCGTTTCCAATTTCCTTCGATTGAGCTTTCAGTTCATTCACGTCCCAGTTTGCCCAAACAAACTTGCGGTTCAGGAAGCATGCTTCGGAGCTTGCAAGCCATAGATTAAAGCTTGCTGGTAAAGAAACTTAGAGAAAATCAGTCATCTCTCACGTTTCTTATCCGGGAATCAAGGAGTCAACTTACCATCATCCTCGTAGTCCAGAGGGACATCGCCTCTTGCTTCTTGGGACATTTGCGTATCTATAACGCCAGGCTGAACATGAAAGACTCGAATATCTGGATGTGCAGCTGCTACAGAATCCCAAAGTCGAAATACCGCGAGCTTTGCGACACTATAGCAAGCTATCTCTGGCCCAAAATCGAGATATGCGGCAGAAGAATTGATTTCGATAGCTACTGCATCGTTTGAACAATATTGGAGGAAGGCTTGTGCAACATGTAGGGAGCCTTGGATATTCTGGTGAATAGCTTCAAGGAATTTGACGCTGTCTACATCTTTGACAGCACCTTGAGGGCCGGTCACAGCAGCACCGCTAATCAACACATGTATTTGGCCGCCTTCGGCAAACTGTGAGAACGCCGCATTGACCTGATCTTTACTCGTTATATCGGTGACTAGAGCGAAAATATCAATTCCCGCATGGTCCCTCTCGATCAACTCTTTAGTCTCCAGAAGAGGCTGTTCTCGGCGACCTAGGATAGCAATTCGAGATGCTCCTGCTTGAGCATAATACCGAGCAGTTTCGGCGCCTATTCCTGTACCACCTCCGGTAATAATGACATTTTTACCTTTTGCTGATAATTCTGGTCGAGTCGGAGACAGGGCTGGATATGTCTTTGAGTGAAAGGTTGTGGTTGGAGATGGTCCATACGACATGGTGTCAATGAAAGGAGAAGAATAAATCCAAGCTAGGATTTGGTTCATTTTTTTTCACAAGAGACTCTATAAACCTATTTTAGGAGTACGATGATGACGGTATAAAGTTAACATAGGACCGGAAAAGGTAAATTACCACCTCCTTACTTCGGCCAACAATACTGTATGTAGTATAATCGAAGGATAATGTCTGTGTTTGATTCTATGACACATCTCCGGCGCCGCCATGACCGCTTATTGTTTGTTGATGTTTTTATTGGGCAAAAAGCGGTGAGAACTGCATTGGAAAGCCAGCAACATATCTACAGCAAAGATCAACAGAACAATGGATAATCAGCGCAGGCTGGCTGAACTATCTGCCGCTCACGGAAGTCATGACACTCTTGAAAATTGACAACCAAAGATGGCTTGAAACCTAGCTTTATCTAAACCTAAGTTTATCTATTATATAATCCACAGTCGCGAACTATCTATGGCTACGATGACACGAGCCGCTGGCTACAATCAAAACACTATTTCAAGAATCTCTTCCAATATAAGTGTTTGGCAGTGTTAAAGCACCTCTATTTGAAGGCGGACGACCCCGTAGTATCACTCAAGTTATACTCGAGATTTCATGTGATCATCTGATTGAAACGGCTGATATATGTGGAAAAGATAATGGTTATTCTATGGGATGAATTCGCTCTTCTATCTAGTGTAAGTTGCACCTTTACACCCAAAGTTGGTCAAAATAGGCTGCATGGATCACAGCCCGGGAACGCAACTTTGATCTTCTTGACGGATACTATGATTTTATCTGAGACTTCATCTCACCACCTTATATATATCGATAAACCCGGATATAATAAATGAATAGGTTTGTAGCGAACAGATCGGTCACCCTTTGCTACTACACTGGTCACTGGTTTAATCATTGAAATTTTCCAAGTTGTGGCCAGCGCTATTAAATTTGGCCTGTGTATATACAAGAGGGCATTATGTTATCTGGAGCATTGTAGGCTTCAACTGATGCATTTGTCTTTAGGGATTTTACCGCGCAGCTTCTCCATCAGCGTGGCAAATGGCCCGAGCCAAAGTCTGTGCTAGTGATGGATAATGTATCCCTTCATCACTCGGACAGAATTGAACAATTGAACAAATGACAAGATTCTCTTAAGATTTGATGTGAGGGGGGGGGGGGGGGTGGCGCCATTGAGTTGACCTAATTCGACTCTCTCGCCAAGCCTTTCTTTAGTGGTGGTGGACCGACCTGAGTGTATCCGTACTTAGGGCCCGTATGGGGATCTGCTTAGAAAGGTCTTGGTAAGATGGCCGGGGTTTCTTAGTCAACGTTGCCCCCGCGGACGGGCCCGAATATATTGAGGTATCACCGCATGATTAGTTAACTATTGGTACCACTGCATGGTTATTAATTATTAGTACTACTACATAATTATTAGTATCACTGCATGCTTATTGGTACCACTGCATGATTATTGGTGTCTGTATAGTTATTGGTACCACTACATAGTTATTGGTACCAATGCATAGTTATTGGTACCAATGCAGATGATCTACGGAGTATTGTACAATTATTTCACCACTTCAGAATACCGCGGCTTCGGACCTTGACATAACTGGATCAGTGCTAATCTGTATCTTTACCACGGAATAATGTTACTTCACATAATTTATTTGCCACAATTAAGTGGCTCACTTATGCTTTAATGTGATGAACAGTTTTATTGAATAGGATCTCTTTAGGTAGTATGAGCAACCTGTAAGAGATGAGCCGCCCAGGCCCTAACGCAAAAAAATATATATAAAAAAATTCGGGTTTATCCCGGATGCTTTCAATTGAGCATACAGCAACCAAGTACAGTAAATTGACCACCAGAATATAGGACTAGACTCTTGGTTCAGGGCACAGCGCAAACAACCTGCTATAGATACTTAGGTAATAACTCCCTACAATGATATATATCGATGCTATTCAACTGATATCTATATGTATTCAAGACTCAGCGGCTATTCTTTCACTAGTTATATAGCTACTGATCAGATATTAATTCTGATTACTGTATAAATTATAACTAATACAACCTTATCTTAATACTATTATTTCTGGTGCTCCTACCAGAAGTGTATAGTACCGTTGGTTCTAAGTTATATACATATATTGAGTGTTACTTTAGAAGCTCCTCTTCGGGTGGGTAAAGGCCAGGGATGACCACATGCACTATATCGATATCCCGTGACAAGATTCCAGAAGCAGTGGTGTACAATCTATGTCTTTGTTCTACCATATTATGTCCTGAATATGAACCGAAATAATACTTGTATGATTTTCCTCTATCGCGGAGCGTTACCGGTCATGTGAAGTGATTCTCGTGAAGACTAGTTGACATGAGAAATTGCTTCGCGCGGGCTCCGTGCTTGAGACTTCCTAAGTTGAAGGTATCGTTACTTGATGTGGTGCTGGAATGCCTCTTAGGTGGTCTCAACTTAATACCTCACAGCTCCCAGCCACAGCGGCCATGAAGCAGATGAAATCAGAGGGTCAACGAATTGACACGATCATTCACAGTTCATTGCCGAGTCCAGGTCAGCCTTTCTCTGTGTCCTTAAATCGGCGACAGGCGTGTTCAAATGGGCTACGAGTGTCTGCACCCAGTAACACGTCTCTGTAACAAGATGGCTGACTGTGGCGAGGTCAAGCACTCCTTCGGGAACCGAGAGGCGGAATTCATGATCCTCGACGCGGGGAACAGAATGGAGAACAAACCCATCCGTTTCAACCCCCGGATAAATCAAATCAAGCTTGCCAACTGCCTCCCCAAGACGATATTCATTATCAAATTTGATATTCTGATGCATAACAAATGTCTCCATCAAGGCATCCGAGCCCCATTCTGTGCATTGATCTCCCAACCCAAAGAAATCGACGGTTTCATAGGACAGTGACTTGACGTGTTGCGATTGTACTGCCTCCATCACCTCCATTGCCGATAGATTTGGCTTTTCTCCGGCCAACGAAACCCGCACAGGGGGAAGTTCACGCACGGCCCGACTACTTCTTGGATACCAGCCGGACCGTGTGAACGACCAGTAACGAATTGCGCAAATACGCAATCATCCTTACCAGCTTGGTGTGCCAGGGTCAGCGCCCAGGCAGTCTTGACAACTGTAGCTAGCGTGATGCCCAGAGGTGGCTGCACTAAGGGAATGACACGACTGGTAGACACTTCTGGGCAACGCGAGGGGACTCGACAACGTCCCACATCAAAAAGCGATGAACCTCGCAAGGTCTCTTGCCAAAAATCGATGGCATCGCTGATTGGGAGAGATGCCGCGAAGGCCTGGTATTCGCCATAAGTCATGGCCGGTGGCAATGAATCTGGTCCGTGCTCGTAGAAGGTAGCTAAATCGTTAAACAAGGTTATACTGGACACGCCGTCATAGTACGGGTTCTTAATTGCAACAACAAGGGACATTTCACGCGCGTCATCATCCTTCAAGGCAAGAAAGAATCGAAAGGGAGGCCATAAAGCGCGCAGACTTTCTTTTATCATCTCACTGTCGTTGACAATCCATCGGCCGGCAACCTGAATTGCTGGTTCGGTACTCTCAAGGATCTCAAGTTGAGGCTCGAAATCCCGTAAGATGACTTGGTACGTTCTGGCCGGTGTGTGGCCAGAGAACACAGCAGCCCGGAGGATTTCATGTCGCTCGTGGAGCGACTTGATGGCTGACTTTAATCGACAGATATCCAGCGATCCGCAAAGATTTAATTGAAAATATTCACACGGCAGATCAAGAGAATACTCCTGCATTTTAGTGCCGGCAAGAATATGCTGGATATTTGGGGATTCTATTCCCGGAAGTTGGCACGAGAGCGTCTTCAGGATAGTGCCGTCGGTATCTTGAAGAAACTCAGGAGCGAATTTTTCATTGCAACCAGGTTTCTGTTTTTCTTTGTCAAGCTTTTGAGCCAGCTTGGCTATCGATTCCGCCTCTTGAAGAGCAAATGGGCTTAGCTCGATGTTCTCTTTGCGAGCCAACGCGGATATTCTCATTGCAGCCAGCGAATCACCTCCCTGGACAAAGAAGCTCGCATCTAGAGCAACTTGCTGCTGCTCAACACCCAGCGCCAGCGCAACCAAGCACTGAATTCGATTTTCCATCTCGTTATGAGCTACGGTACGGCGATTCCCCAATAAGAGAGTATACTCGAACGCCTCTTCCGACGAGAATTGTGCCACCTCTGCTGATAGTAGACGAAAATCCAACTTGTCATTCGGTGTGAGTGGCAGCTTGTCCAATGGGATCCACAATTTTGGAATCATGAATTGCGGTAAATCCCTCTGAAGACGAGTAGCGACAGCAACCCGACAAGCATGTTGGAAAGTTTTCGAAGGCTTGAGGAACGTCGACTTGGCTGATTTCTTCTCACAAGTATCCCCATTCATTCCCAAGAGAAAGGCAACGAGGACGGGAGATGTGCGGCTCACAACGGCCACGATCACGCGCTGAGACTCTGGCAATACATCATGAATGACATGTTCAATTTCCTCGAGCTCAATTCTTTGCCCATGGATCTTAATTTGGTTATCTTTCCGTCCCAGTATGCGAAATGATCCGTCTGATACCATTTGCACCAAGTCACCTGTGCGATAAAAGGACCACGGCGACGTACGAAACGGACGAATCCAGGGTGGATTTCGAAAAAACGCTTGCGCAGTCTCCTCGGGTCTGTTGAGGTATTCACGGCCGACATTGGGACCTTCAATGATCAATTCTCCGACAGCACCGACAGGTACTAGCCGGTTGGTGTCATCCTGATCCACAACCCAGAAGCGACAACATTCGGTTGGGTACCCTATATTCGCCGTATCTGGCGTGAAGGAAAGGCTCTCCGCAAATGATGAGCCAATGCTACATTCGGAAGGGCCGTAGACATTGGTCAAGGTCTTTTTCTCGGCCCATGAATAGATGTCATTCATGGCAATCTTTTCGCCTCCACAGACTACCGTTGATATGGTTGGAAAATCATCAGGGTCGAATGTTCGCAGGACCGCAGGTGTCATAAAGGTTGAATTGACATTGAGACGTCGAGTGGCGCCCGCTAGATCCTGCTGGCGTTCTTGATCCGATGGTACACAAATACACCCGCCTCCGATCAACACCCCGAGAGTCTCTGAAATGCTGGTATCAAACCCATATGATGCAAATTGCAGGACGCGTGAGGTGGGAAGATAATTCATTTTCTTTGCAATTGCTATTAAACTTGTGCTAAACGCAGCATGTTCGATCACAGTGGCCTTCGGCTTGCCTGTAGAGCCAGATGTAAAGGCAAGAATTGCCATGTTACCCGGACGAACAGTTTGGGGCAGAATGATATCTGAGGCTTTCGAAGCAGTGATCCTTGGAGTGATAACTTGCTGCAGCCCAATGGATATACCGCGATCGGCATATTGAGGAGAGCAAACCCCGACCATGGCACCAATATCACCGCACATCGTCTTCAGCCGCCCATCAGGGAATGATGGATCGAAGAGGGCAAACGCAGCGCCAGAATAGAGAATAGCAAGCATCGCGACTGGTGTCCAACCAGACTTCTCGAAGAGCACTGGCACCACGACTTCTGGACCCGCCCCAGCCTGGACCAAACGAAGGCTGAGTGCCCTTGCTTGTGCCTCAAGCTCACTATATGTCATTTTGATATCCCAGGCACAAATGGCTTCACTCTGAGGCCGTGCTGCAATCTGGGATGAGATCAGATCATGAATGCATATCTCGATGCGACTCAATGGATGCATTGGTCCATTTCGAATATCAATCCAGGAATGATCTTCGGGACACAGACTGAGTAAGGCTACAATCTTCCTCTCTGTGAAACATTGAAGCTGTTTCATGAGGTGGCTGAATTGGTACATCATTCGCAGTGCCTGCCATGAAGGGGGTCCTCTAGTGCCGACAATGACGCTAATTTCAGTCGAATTCTCTGTTAAGTCGCATCTCAATATCATCGGGGACACCAAATCTGGGGCTGTTGCCCCAGTTCCGTCCTTGTCAGAGGGCCTCGTGATCGTCACATCTAAAAGACTCCTGGACTTCCAGTCGTTCGACCTCGCAACCGGGTCACAATCGACACAGGCAGTTTTAAGGAGGCTTCGGATCTCTACCAGGGCCCCCGATGCGATCTTCTCGGTATCAATTGGGATATCGAGTGTTCGAACAGACCCTTGCGAGTATAGTTGAAATTGAACATTATTTTCGCTGGTGAACAAATAGAGCGTGAGTGCCCAGGCCAAGTGCGGGATTGAGATTTCAAGTCCAGAAATATTCTTCAGCTGCGCGGATACTGTTTCAAACCTAGCGACTGAAGGCATTGTGATCCTTGTATAGTGTAAAATATTGCTTGTTAGAATGGCTAGTGCTCTCGGGGACGTCAATATATCTTGTGCAGCAGCACTCACAGTCGCTTGTAGCGTGCAACCCACTCGTCATGTGCCGGGAAGAGCCTGAATTCCCGCCACAAGCGATGGCTTCGTTCCTCGGGGAAATCCGGGCACGAGAGGTCACAGCGATGGTTCTCCGAGGTCGATGGGGGCAGGGTAAATCTCAGCATGCTTCGTGTCCCACCACAGGCTGCATTATGTGCCAGCTGAAGTGTTGTGTATGCAGTAGAACGATGTAAGGAGATCTGATCTTTCATCCGCATGGTTGATCGCCCCATGCTCCCTGCCTAAATTATGTGGGTCCTTGCATAAGCGCCGCATGATTGAAGCCATAGTGAGCATGGTTGAAAAAAAATAGTGAATCTGACGGTATCAAATCTAAAGTTTATCCGTGGATATGATATTCAATTTTTCCCAGCTGGACAGGGGCACTGGCCCATGCCTGTGCGACGGTCCACTGGATGAATCTAAAGGCATACACATTTTACCATATCACTATCTAACATTTTTCAAGTATGCTTTAGGTAATTTATCGCCTATATCATGTCAGAAGTACTTCCCAAATTACATAGATCTGCATGGTACACAGGACTTCGTGTATTGTAAAGGTATCATCATATCCACTTGCATACTATTTTTCATTTTCTCCATTTCTTTATATATATATATATAAATTTGAGATTTTAGGTAATTGGTCCCTATTCGCCTCTGCACATTCATCACATCTTTCGTGGATATGGTAAACCAAGAATAATCACCAAGAACCGCAGACTACGTACCGCGTCAGTTTCTCATTTTCAATTTTCCATTTTCCTTGAGCAACATCCTAGCACCATCCAACCAGCGCCAACATGACCGTCCCGGAGGTTGTAGAAAAAGTCAAGGAATCCCAAACCGATTCTTTTTATGGCAACGCCGAATTCTATGAAATCTACGGCGCGAAGTATCTTATTGAGCCGAAAGACCCCAAAGTCGATTTTGATCAGCCGCAGGCAAGCCATGCCCACCCTGTTATTATTTAGTAGAATTCAGTACCCACAGTAATTTAGGCCAATTTAGTAGAAAACTTTTAAGACAATTACATACAAAGATTTATCTTTGTGAGCGAAATACAACGCGGCGATACACGGCTTGGATAGTTCTCAGTAGAGACTCTAAGACTAGTAGTGGGAATAACTAGTAGTCTTTATTTAACATCAAGCGAAATCGACTATTCCCTAAATAGGAAATTTTGATTTGGATCAAAATATAAAATAAATAAGGACGATGGATAATAGTATTCTGGCCGGGGATACCTTATTGCCTGTCTTTACGCCGTGGCAATCCTATCATCCCGCACAAGCAAGGGGCCAAGTTGGAAGTGACTTACTGTATGTCGGCTGCACTTTCATATACAATCAGCTCTGATGCCTCATGTCTCAAAAGCTCGTTACATCAAAATATATGCGCTATTATGCGGTTATATGCACGCACACGGCGAGGGAGTAAGCTGTCCTGACTACAGTACAAGTGGTCATTAGATAGGCGGTGTAGTAATGCGTCAAACTTCTGTAATCGATACGTGCAGTGTATAATCTCAAAATATTCCAAGACCAAGTTATATCAATTCATCATCCCTGCATATGTGCATACCCCGCTTTGCTCGCGAGAGAGCCTAGGTTCACAACATTGATACATATAAACCAGACATTGGCCACTCTTTATAAGTTACTATTAGCATTTTCACTTTCCATTCCACAAGAAGGCTCATCATGAAAGACGGATACCATTCAGCCTATTGGGCAGAGCTATACGACTTCACTCATGATTCATTTGACTGCTTGAATGAAGATGCGAACATTTATCTGGACGCATACAAAGAAATGCGAGCCGGACGTCCTTTGAGCGGCCCAGAGGACGAATTTGTTTTTGTTGATATCGCCTGCGGCACTGGCCGTGTCTTTAGGCAGCTCGCGAACAGCCTAGTGCGATGCGGTGAACCCTCGGACCGCACACAGTTCATTGGACTGAGACTTCTCGGTTCACATGCTCAAGCGTGCGGTCGAACAGATGCCAAAATCCTTGTCGCACAGCATCAAATATGTCCAGGGCTCTGCAACGGAGCTTTCAGCGATGAAAGACTTTCAAGGCCCGCCTACCGTCGACCTCATGACATTTGCAGCTGGCAGCATCACTGTACTGATGGAGAGTGGGCAAGCAGAGAAGTTTCTAGCCCAGGCAGCTGGCGTCTTGCGCCCAGAAACAGGCCGCGCTTTTATCTCTGTAAATTATATGTTCGATGATTCGCGAAAGGCCAAAGTAGCGAAAATGGTGGAGCGAATGACGGAGAACCCGTACTCCCAGGATACTAAGAGCGTATTGTTCCCTGGGATTTTGTACCGCCATGGGCAAGAAAGTTGCCGACGGGAGGGTAACCTCCTTTTTTGGGATATACCGGTGGAGGTGATCAAGAAGGACGAGAAAGGAGTTGAAAGTGTGATCAAGAAGGATGTGGCTTCAGTGGGTGGACGTGTTTGGCAGGATGGCGAACTGCTACTGCTGGCGGCGGCGGCGGGGTTGGAACTTGTTGAGACGCGCTCAACCAGCAATGAAACCATGTACGTATTGAAGAAGGCCTAAATATATTCCGGCCCACCAGGGGGGGGGGGTGTTCCGCATTAAAAAGTCTTGGCAAGGGGGGGGGGTGTTGGCCTAATATTTTTCGATCGGGCTTTTTAGAAGTTTGATTAGAATTATCTAAACTATCCTCCTATCAGGTTTAATAGGATGATTTCCAGTCAGAAGGGTGAAACCCTAAGGGGTCTGATTTTGGTAGGTAATATTTTGATGGGGTATGCCAAGACCAGGACCGACGGGTAGTCAGTACCCTTTTCGGCCAGTTTTCTATCCTATGGGGGCAACTCGGATGGGCCCCATTCGAGTTAATTAGGGTTTGTTAAGTATGGGAAAAAAAAGTAGAGACAGGGCCTATTCAAATTAACCTTCACACCCCCATTCGAGTATATATAATAGGGTTGCAGGATCCTCAAAATTAAGTATATTGTAATTCAGAAGAAGCTTAATTATCTAGCCAAATTTAAGCACAATCAGTATATATTAAGTAATATTTTTTGTGGTTTAAAAGTAGTGTAATTTTTTAATGGGGTAACTACCACCTGCTGACTGTGACTAGTCACTACTATTATCGTAGCCAACTACTATATTCAGTTTAGCAACAGAATATGTTTTTTTGTTTTGAATTTTCAGGGGTAGATTCAGAGTTTCCCTATTATTATCCTATTTGATTTTAAGCCTAATCCTAGGATATTAAGGCTGTACTATTCCCTAGTATTTCTATTATTAACCGCTAATATATATTTGTATATTGATAATAAACTATAAATATAATATCTATAATATTTTTTATATTAATACTGCTTTCTGGGTATTAATTTACTAGAAATACTAATATACAGTATAACTAGGATATATTAAAGCCTATATAATCAGTACTATTTATTATATCCCTATTATATAGGCCCAGTATATTCAAAATATAATCTAGGGGTAGGATTATATTAATCAGTAGCCCTAGGTAGATAGTTAGCCCTGCTAGATTAACAAACCTATCCCTAAGCTACCGGTTTATAAGGACAGAATTATATATTGGTTATACAATAAATATATATATTATCAGATTAAATCTATAAAGAAGTATTAGGGAAAGGCCTATAAGTATTATATATTCTACTATAGTAGCTACCCTACCCCTACTTAGATTTAAGCTATCTAGGGCTATATCAAAGCTAATAGCTAGTTTATTCTATACTAATATTTATTTACCTAAGGGCCTAGGTCCTATTACATCTGTATAGTATAGCTAAACCCCTAGGTGGTATCCCCAGATCCTATTCCTAATACTAATATAATTCGCCAGTTATTATAAACTATATTAGAGTATTAGCAGGAAGATTAAAAGGCCTAAGATACTATTATCTAAGCTAGAGATTTAGATAAAGCTATACTATAGTTGAATTAGATAGGATAGGTATAGTTTTTATAAGAGACCCCCTGCCAACTATTAATTAAGAGTATCTAGTACCCTAAGGGGAATAGTAAGGGACTAGAGTATACTATATTAGTTATTTAGTAGGCTATTAAATAACTAATATATATAAGCCAGGAAATTACTAAGGAGTATAGCTATTTATTACAGATTAAAGTTATCTGAACTACTAAGGATAAAAGCCCTATAAGCTATTATTGGTATATTTAGATACTACTACTATTAAAAAGCATATAGCACTATAGCAGTATATTTTGATATTTTTTGTACAAACTTAGGTATATTTATTTAAGGATTTTACCGGATTATAGTATAGGAATACTAGTGTTCTAGTTAATATACAGAGAGATATTTATATCGCTGATCTGTAGATATTCTAAGGTTATAAAGAGCCCGGCCTGACCCGTATAGTACAGTTATAACCCTAATTTCTATACCTACCCTATTTTTTATTAATAATATATATATATATTAACAGCTATAGATTAAATATAATTAAGAATCCCCTAAGTATATATTTACCTAACACCAGCAGTAGTTATAGGATACCTTATAGTATTATATATAAGCCTATACTAGTAGCCCTAACCCTGCCAAGAATAATATAGATATAGATAATAAGCCAGAGCTATTTAAGATCTGCCCTATTAAGAATATATTATTAAATTTCTGTATTGATTTATATAAGACTATATGTCTTACTAGGCTCAGGGAAGTAATGGTAGATCAGATAATCTAATAAGTGTTACGCGTTGCTAACTGGTCACAGTGAGTGGTTAGACTATCGTACAACAACTTACCAGTTGTTAGGTCTGTCTTGATTAGGTGTGATATCTATCACTCGTAATCCTCAAGTATCGACTCACAATCGTACCGTTACTGTGCTAAGCCTTACACAGACTCAGATCCTATAGAGTAACTTCGAAGGATACGCCAGATAGTACACCGAATAGGTCAGTCCGAAGAGCTCCCCTATTCGTAGTATATTTGTCACAAAAGATAAAACTGAATAAAGAATAGCCCGAAGGTATACTATAGTAACTTAGATTAATTAATCGCAAAGAACTAAATATATATACGTAAAGAGCGCCCTATATATCCTAGTCCTTCCTAAGGTACTGTCAGAATCCTGGTCCTGATGTTAGGTCAGGTCTGTTCTGTCCGAACGGATAGGATCTTATACTCGTTACGTAAGTGGCCCGATCGGGTACTAGAGCGGTTGCTTGTAGGTTGTCTGTAGAACTGTATATATACCGGATAATATCTGGCTTGAGGATACCGTATCCCGGATTACCCTCCTGCTTACTGAGCAGGATCTCTGTATAAGATATTTTTATATAGCTCTGTTTTTGGTTCCTAGGAGTATAGTTCTAACCGGCCCCTGCTCCTAGGAACGTCTGTGTAATACTTCTTATTGGTTGCATATAACGTATATATATTTCTTTAGAATAGTTGGCTCTCGGTAGCCTATCTGTTGGGTTGTGACCCCTTATATCGTTAGATTTGTAATATTATCCCCTCCTTTATAGGTTCTTACCCTCGAGAATCCCTTATAGCCGCCTACTCCCCCTTAGTAAGTACAGGCCCTTTTTTGTTTCTTATTTTTCTAAATATTCGCTGATTATATCTTCCTCTTCTGGGGTTTCTAGTCATAAGCTTCATCAGTTAATTAACCATAAAGGTTTTGAGTCCTTTGTGCCCTATCTCCGTTGTACTTACCTTCGATATGTTTATATTCGTTCTAAGCGCTCTAAGAACTGCTCCTATTGTATTTGTGCCAGTCAAGGCGTTAAGTATAAGATGCCTAAGAAGTTATTTACCGATACTGAGTAGCGTTGTCTTCTAAAGTCCTAGTCTTCCCTTTATAATCAGGAGAAGGAGCTCCTATAGGCTCAGAATAAAATCTTTACAAAATTAATATGCCTTTATAAGCAAGAGAAGCTACTGTATAAGCATACTAGTGATTTTATTATACAGAAATGTCAGGATATTGCTAAGTTAGAGAAGCTTAAGCATTATAAGGCCAAAGAATTACAGTGCCTTAAAGATAAACGCATTAAGTCTGAGCAAAAAGAGTATAAGGCTGAGTCTTTTCGTACTGCTTCTGAAAAAATTAATTATACCTTGGTACAGGACTATTAGGTCCTTACGGCAACGTCTAAGGATCCTACTCTGATACAGATAATTATATCAGTAGATCCCTTACCGTCTCTTTCCTAGGACGACCTAGACGCCTTTTTATCGGCTAGGGCTATAAAGTCCCCTTTATCTGTTAGTGGTACTATTGAACCAGCCGGCGGCAGTCCGTTAGGTTCTCGATAGGTTCCTATATATTTTCTAAGGTACTATATCCTTTCTATTTTACTAGATAGTAAGGTTTTCCGTTAATATATTTCATACTTAGAACGTTTTCGACTTTATATTCGTTTTCGGTCTCTTCCTTAATTTCTACGTTTATAGTGAGTTCGGTGTTTTCTGGTACAGTTTTGAGTAACAAGATATAAAATATTATATATATACATCGTATACTGTCTGGTAGTTTTAAGCGATAATTAACTGGTCCTGTTTTTTCTTTAATTTTAAATAGTCCCAGTTTTAGGTAGTTAAGCTTTAAACTTAGTCGCTTGGTTTTGATATTCTGACGTAGAAGGTATACCTTCTCTCCCTTTTTAAAGTCTGGTCCCCTCTGGTAGGTTTTGTTGTAGTAATACTTCATTTATAGGTTGAAAAATTCGATGTCTCTGGCTAACTAAAGGTACAGTTGCTTAAGTTCTAAAGCTAGTAGTCTCGATGACTCTGCTTCTGTCTTTTTTCTGATTGCTTTGCTAATAATTATAGGATTATACCTATAATTTGTGAAGAATAGTGTTTCTTAAGTGGTCGTATATATGCTGTTGTTATATACGAATTGTGCTAGTAGTAACAGTCCTGTTTAGTCGTCTTGCTGGTAGTTTATATAGTGTCTTAGGTACTGTTCTAAGGTTTGGTTTATTCTCTCTGTCTGGCTATTCGTTTGAGGATAATAGGCAGTAGAGAGTCTATGCTTAATGCCTATAAAGTCTGTAAATAATTACTATATCTTGCTTGTAAAAAGCTTATCTCTGTCTAAGATTATTCTCTAGGGTATTCTATAATTGGCGAATATATATCTGAACAATAGAAATACTATGGTGCTTATGTCGATAGTTTCTGTCGTTAGTATTATATACGAATATTTCGTTAATCGGTCTACTACTACTATAATCATATTGTGTCTGTCTGATTTAGGTAGTTTGGTGATAAAGTTAAGTATAATCTATTCCTAAGGTTATATTAGTACTTCTAAGTTCTATAACTTGCTATATGGTGTATATTACAATGGTTTGTTTTGCTGACAGGTATCGTACTGTTTAATGTATCTTATTACCTTTTTGCGTATATTCAGAATATAGTAGTTCCTTAAGAGAAGTTCTACTGTTTTTTCTTCTCCTATATAACCGTATACTAGGTTATTATAGTGTCGTTGTATCGCTTTATCCTAAAGTCGTTATAGGATGTAAATCAGTCTGTGGATATAGATTAACCTGTTGTTATA